AAACTTGGAGACGGCCACAGAAAAGGAGCGCTCAGAAAGATAGAGGAGAACCAATCCAGAGCAGATCCTGATAGGCCTACCCAGTCTCTCAGCCTCTCCAGTAGCAGGTGATGGTCAACAGTGTCTTATGGGCCATTCCCATCTGTACCGGGTCGGCCCGGGCCGGGTAGCGTAGGTTGTTTACATATCTGGGTGGCCTGGCATTTTTCCGGGCCAACCAAGGCTCATTCTCAGCCCTCTTCTCGAGGGGGTCTGCTTCAGGCCGACCAGGGCCAACACACCCACTGCTGACAGCAAATTCACACCTTCCATTAGAGCAAGCCTCTGATTGGTGGGTAGAATCAGCCCACATGGGCTTAAGGCAAGGATGTGTGGAATCAACCGGGCCAGGCTGGGGCCGACTGGGGCTACCCGGCCCGGGCCGACCCGGTACAGATGGGAATGGCCCAAAAGACTGCAGTCAGGTCCAGCAGGACCAGAACAGAACAGTCCCCTGCATCACTGTGAGTCAGAAGGTCATTAGAGACCCTAAGAAGAGCAGTTTCAGTAGAATGAGCTCTACGAAAACCGGATTGGCAGCTATCATAGATGTTATGTTCATCAAAAGCAGCTGTGAGTTGTTTAGCCACAACCTTTTCCAAGATCTTGGAGATGAACGGAAGTTTAGAGATGGGTAGGAAGCTGCTATGGAGAGAGGCGTCAAGACTTAGTTTTTTAAGAAGCGGGTGGATTACAGTGTTCTTAAAGTAAGCAGGGACCTGACCAGAAACCAGAGAAGCATTAATTATAGAGAGCACGCTGGGACTGATGGACTGAAAAGCACTTTTAAACAGAGATGAGGGTAAGATGCCGAGGGGGCATGCAGAGGTCTTCATAGAGTTAACTAGTTTGGTTAACTCAGGCAAAGAAACAGGAGCAAAGCTATCTAGGATGATGGGCCTGGTTGGAGTTGGGAGAGGCGGCGATAAGGCTGAAGAAGAGATGCTAGATCTAACCTTATTGACTTTCTCCACAAAGAAAGACAGAAAGTTCTCACAGTCTGCAACAGAGTGGATGGAGGCTGTAGGAGTGGCAGGAGAGACAATGCTGCTGATGGTGTTAAACAGCACCTTGGGGTTCCCTTTGCTCTGGGACACCAGGTTGGAAAAATAGGAAACCATAGCATCTCTGACTGCAGAGCTAAAGGATGTCAGAAGATCCTTTAGGTGCAGCAGATGGATGTGGAGATGGGTTTTCTTCCACAAGCGCTCAATTTTTCTGCATTGGTGCTTCAGGCTGCGAAGGCTGGGAGTAGGGTTCACTGTAGGAACTGATCTGGTTCTGACGGGACAGATGTTGTCCAGAATGGAGAGGAAGTGCTCAATAAACTCAGGAGTTAAGGAATCTGGGTCGTTATCAGAAGAACAGGGTGGATCAAAAGCAGCAGAAAAATTGCTAGCTGTGCTCTCATTAAGAAAACGAGAACTAACCATGCGGCGAGTAGGAGGTGGGGATGCAGAAACTGACAAGTTAAAGAAAATGCAATGGTGATCTGAAATATAAACCTTCTCAGGACAAACACTGTCAGCGTTTAGACTCAGGGTAAAAACAAGGTCTAGAGTGTGCCCCCTGGTGTGTGTGGGGCCAGAAACGGGCTGGGTAAAGCTGAAGGAGTCCATAAGGCTGGAGAAATTCATGGTAAAGTGATCAGAGGGATCATCAATGTGGATGTTAAAGTCACCAACAATCACCAGTCTGGACAGCTTCACAGTGGAGGATAGAAAGTCACTAAACTCCTGAAGGAAAGAACTGTTTGGACCAGGTGGATAATAGACCACAGCCCGGTAGAACGGGTCCTTACGCCCAACTTTAATCAGCTGCAGTTCAAAGGAAGCAAAGTGACCAGAGCTTGTAGAGCTACATGGAAGATGGTCTCTGAAAACAACAGCTAGGCCTCCACCACGACCAGAACCATGGGGCTGGCTAAGAAAAGAATAGTCACTCGGGCAAAGTTCAATCAGACCAGAATAATTAGATGTTTGCTGCCAAACTTCAGTCAGAAACAGAAAATCTAGGTTTTTAGGGAGAATTAGATCATTGCGCAGGAAGGACTTATTGTTAACAGAGCGGGAATTTAATAGAGCCATGCTGAGTGAGGTGGAGGAATCAGATATTACAGAAACAGCTGGAGTTAGTGGACGTAAGTTAGCAGGGTTAGATCCACGGTGTTTACAAAAACCACTTATGGAGGGAACAGGAGGAGAAACCACAGAGGAATGAGGATAAACCGACCTTAAAAAAACTTGAACAGAGAAGCCGCGCAGCAACGCGGCCTGGCGGGAATGCGGAAGTGGCGCTCAAGTCGCCAAACAAAGGACAAGAAGCTAGAAGATCATGCCGATGTTTACTAGATAAACCACGCTTTAAGAGAAGTCTTATTCTCACCTGGATTCCTGCTCGTTTACCTCTTTTCCTCCGACGTTTTCCCAGGACCGAATAAACATCGCTGGAGGCGCCCTGGTTGGAATCGTCGTTTGGCTTCGGGCCAGTGCGTCACTCAGATAAACAAATGGGGAGGTACATCCTCAGTGCATCTTGGGCGATCGTGAACGAACGTAAAGACAAAAGAGTCTGGCAATCATAGGAGATGGTAGCAGGGACACGACTGAAGAGGATCGCAGACAGGAGCAAGGTGGAAAAGAGGAGGTTAGAGGAGAAAAGTTCAAAAATTGGCCGGTGACTGCGGCTAAGTCAAGCACAGGCGCCATCTTGTTACTGACAGGAAGTGGCATGACAACACAATCAGTCATTCACACACACATTCACACACTGGTGGGGATGAGCTACAATGCAGCCACAACTGCCCTAGGGTGCACTGACAGAGTGTTGCCAAACACTGGTGTCACCGGTCCATCTGACCACCAGCAGGCAAGGCAGGTTAAGTGTCTTGCCTAAGGACACAACATCAGCATTCTCTGGTAGGAGCCGGTATCAAACCTGCAACCCTCCGATTACTGGACAACCCGCGCTACCTCATGAGCTACTGCTTTCTCAGTAGTAAAATGGTTTGTTTCGGTGAAGCTCCGCTCACGACGACAAAACACACCTACAGCAGCGTAAAGCCTGGGGCACGCAGAAGACGGATGCGCTGTGCTGCAACAGGCCTTCGCCGGCATAAAAAAAAAGCCATTATAGTTGCTGAGCGGTGCTACACGGAAGCACAACATCACATCCCGGCAGCGTCCATCAACACAGAGGCGCTGAAGACAGGCGCCAGTTCTATTTCAAGCACCGTGGTGTAACTGTTTACAATATTGTGGAGTACTTTACAAGAGAGATTATGATGCAGAATGGCTCCACAGCACGAACCCAAAAGATGGACGAGGAGCTTATAAATGCTACTTGATTACAGTACTGATGACTTAAAAGCACTATTGATCTTTAAATATTCTAATAAATAGCATACTTAACCATTTTCAATTAATTAGAGTCTCACAAAATACAATGACAAGTCTGATCACGTATAAACAAAAGAGTCACTTTCCACTTCCTGTTCCCAAGTCCCGCGTGATCTTGTGACTATCGCGTGATTTTCCAAGAAGTTTTCAGTGGTGTAGTGAGTCCTATTTGACCTTTTGACTTCCCAAAACCACTGCACTTCCGTGGCGTAGCACATCTGTCTCCTGTGTGCCCCAGGCTTTGGGCAAGCCTGCTGTTGTGTTGGCTATAGTAGTCCAGCGGTTTGAGGGCCTGCCTTTTGTCTCGTTTTGCCATGAGCTGACGTGGGTTTGACTCCCAGTGTCTGCAGTCATGTATTTAGCCAGCTGAAGCAATGCCTGGTGATGCGAATGCGGGTGACTTTCTCCTGGATGCAGGAAAAACTCTTTACATGGACCAAATTGAAGCTGAGGCAATAAAATGCATAATGCTGCCAAAAACGTATTTGGGAGTATTTCTCATAAGAAAATGACAATCTAAAGTGACATGGCCCCTTTAGCAACTGAGGCCAAGACAAGCCAGCAAACTGGTATTCAATCTTTTTATCGTTTTTTTTTTTTTTTTTTTAGGTTCTAAAATGATAAATGATCAATAACTTGTGTAGCGCCTTTCTGAGTCAAAGGACTCCAAAGTGTTTTATGGCGTATGATTCATCCATTCACCCACACACACATTCACTCACTGATGGTGATGAGCTACGATGTAGCCACAGCTGCCCTGGGAAGCGCTGACTGAGGTGAGGCTGCCAGGCACAGGTATCACCGGTCCCTCTGACCACTACCAGCAGACAAGGTGCGTTAAGTGTCTTGCCCAAGGACACAACAGCAGAATTCTCTTTCCGGAACCAGGATCGAACCTGCAACCTTTCAATTACTGGCGAACCTGCTCAACCTCTTGAGCTACTGCTGCCCCTTAAATCAACAATCAAACTTAAATCAAATGAGATCCATCCATCAGTCTCTGGTCTCTGTCATTGGCATAGATTTTTCTTCTTGTAAAACACATTTTAGGTCCAATCATGTCACTAATCGTGCGCCCTTTTACTGCAAAATCCTTGAAGGAAAATCTCAGAACCGCCAGTCTAAAATATATGAAATTTGCCCGATTTTAAATTCTGGTTGTTATTAAAATTTGTTTTATTGTAAAATATATTTATTTTGTCCTTTTCTTTCCATTGACCTATAAATGGTGAATATATTGGTGTGATTTTATCAGCATTTAGCACAGTATGACCACAGTTAGTTTAATAATCAATATTCAAAATTTAACTACTGCTGCAGTTTTTGCACGTTTTGCATGTTAAAATCTGGGTTCTGAGGCCCAGCAAAGGTTCTTATGGTAATCTTGATCTGGATTTTAATCTGTTTAGCCAAAAGTCTGGCTGGAAGTTAAGGCGCAGTTAGGGAGGCATAGTTGATGTGAAGACGAGCTGAATAAACAATAGGCATCTGGTGTGGAAAACTACCGTGTATTTTCACACATTTAAAACTGGCAACCACTTCTTATTTTCCTGTCTCACCCAGGTGCCGATCAAGAGTATATCTACATGAACAAAGTGCTCGGTGCAGGGAAGGACAACAATGACAAAGGTGGGAATTTTAAAGAGTCTGGTCAGAAATGTTACTAAAAATGTTTTTTTCGTCCTTCCTTTTTTTTTTTACTTTTAGATTTTTTTTCTCCCTTCTTAAAATGAACGCAAACCTATAAAGGCTCAATAATAGTGTATCTAAGTGGTCCGTTATGTATCTACAGCAGGGTGCAACACTGAAAATGTATCATTACAGACATGCATACAACTGCTGGTACCCTTTCCAATTAAGAACAGTAAAAACCCACAGTGGTCACTGGAAAAACCCAAAACTGACTAAAGTAATTTAATAAAAGAACTAATAAGAAGCAGAAATTGATTTTGAATTTTAGTTTAAACAAAAAGGAGGATGAGGATCAGCACCTCCAAATCTGAGACCATGGTTCTCGACCGGAAAAGGGTGGCTTGCCACCTCCGGGTCGGGGGAGAGGTCCTACCTCAAGTGGAGGAGTTTAAGTATCTCGGGGTCTTGTTCACGAGTGAGGGTAGGAGGGATCGGGAGATCGACAGGCGGATTGGTTCGGCGTCTGCAGTGATGCGGACGCTGAGCCGATCTGTCGTGGGGAAGAGGGAGCTGAGCCAGAAAGCCAGGCTCTCGATTTACCGGTCGATCTACGTCCCAATCCTCACCTATGGTCATGAGCTTTGGGTAATGACCGAAAGAACGAGATCGCGGATACAAGCGGCCGAAATGAGTTTCCTCCATAGGGTGGCCGGGCTCAGCCTTAGAGATAGGGTGAGGAGCTCGGACATTCGGGAGGGACTCGGAGTAGAACCGCTGCTCCTCCGGATCGAAAGGAGCCAGTTGAGGTGGTTTGGGCATCTGGTCAGGATGCCTCCTGGACGCCTCCCCGGGGAGGTGTTTCGGGCATGTCCTGCCGGCAGAAGGCCCCCGGGTCGACCCAGGACACGTTGGAGAGGTTACATCTCCAATCTGGTCCGGGAACGCCTTGGGGTCCTGCCGGAGGAGCTGGTGGACAAGGCCGGGGAGAGGACGGCCTGGAGCTCCCTAGTTGGGATGCTGCCCCCGCGACCCGGACCCGGATAAGCGGAGGAAGACGAGACGAGACGAGAAAAAGGAGGAAAAACCAATGAGTAAAACTGATCTCATACCGCAAAGATTTACATGTTTTGTGGACACGTTAAACTGTAATGTTGCAGGGTTGTTGTTTTCACACTTAGAATCAGTCTGCCTGTTTAAAGGGTGAACGGTAGGCACACTACTGTCTGGTGTCAGGGTGTGGACCACAAAAAGCTGAGGACAGAGTTGTCTCAAGCAACCTTCCCGGTCCAACTATTTCTGCTGATTAAGCTATGGACAGAGATCCTGTACCTCTCGTAGACAAGAATCCATTTTTGGGTCCAAGTATTATTAAAGTGAAAACAAGATGAGAAAGAAATCACTTCTGTGGAGATAAAATGCAATAAAGTCTTCATCAGCATAGCTTAATAGCAAAATAATTAAATAGATCCCGTGTAGATGTCCACTGTTATAACCATTATGTGGGACAAAAGGGTACCAATGACTTTATCTGTGTCTGTAACAGGTGATATTGTTTTGTGTAGCTTTTTTTAAACAGGGAGAAACCTTTCTCTGACTTTCTCTGTAATCTCATCCTGTCTATAAATCTTAAAACCTTCTATTGAAATACTTAATAGTTTATCTTGGTAAATAATTTGTGAAGAGTACATTTTGTGCCATCGATTGATTTGGTTTTTGATTAAATACCTTTCTAGAACTGTGAACTAAGTGCAGTCTGTCATAGTTCTGGAAATGATGATTAATATGATTACCTACAAATGTTGCTTTTTCTGTTCATTTTTATGCCGTGGCTATTATGATATTAGACCTAAACCATAAGAGCCACTTCTTTAATACAACTACAGAAACATATTTAAACAATATTAACCATTGTTTACATTTTTAACCCAGAAGGTAATATATATATAATATAAATATTTAATTTCTTCATTAGATACAAGAGAACATTGTCATTAAAATAGAACAGTTGCTGTTTACCCATCAAATAAAATGGTCAAAGGGTGGAGAATTATTAGGAAACTGGGATGTTTCTGTCACCAACTAGTTTATTATAACATAACCAAAACAACAATAGGAGGAGGTTTATCTGAGATCACTGATTACACGAGTGCGTGAAACCCTGGTGAACTCATGCCCAGGCTCAGGTTGGTCTAGTGTTTGATCTAGTGGTTTTTTGTGGAAATGTTATTACAAATGGTAAATGGTAAATGGCCTGTATTTGATATAGCGCCTTCTAGAGTCCTAGAACCCCCCAAGGCGCTTTACAACACAATCAGTCATTCACCCATTCACACACACATTCACACACTGGTGGGGATGAGCTACAATGTAGCCACAGCTGCCCTGGGGCGCACTGACAGAGGCGAGGCTGCCGAGCACTGGCGCCACCAGTCCCTCCGACCACCACCAGCAGGCAACGTGGGTTAAGTGTCTTGCCCAAGGACACAACGACAGCGACAGACTGAGCGGGACTCGAACCAGCAACCTTCCGATTACGGGGCGAGCACTTAACTCCTGTGCCACTGTCGCCCTTATCTTAGACAATGCTTTGAACAGCCTCAGTTTGAAGAAACGGATATTAGTTCTAATCAGACTGATAAGCTAATAGATAGTGTTGAATTTTTTTCCAGTAGGTTGAACCATCTCATCTCAAACCTGTTGTAGCGACTAATGTTACTGTATTTCAGAAATCTTCCAAGTAAAATTCTGTAGGTATTTATAAAAGCATTCATGACACAAACAGCCCAAGTTTCCCCACTTGGATTCTTAATGATGTTTTGTGTTTGTCTAAGTGGGCAGAACCGTGCGTTCTCGCACTGTTATCACATATCAAGGCCAATTTAGATTCAAATAAAAGCAGAAAAGATAAAGTGCTTCAAGCGGAGACAACCAGCCCCCCTTCACCCCCCTCCTGCTCACCACTTCCTGCCTGGTTCTTCGAAGCAACTCGTTGCTGACCTGTTTAGTTTGGATGGTGATGAAGAATGTGGTTTGAACAAACACCAAATTTAACACGTCATTTCAGCAGCAACGCTATCAAAGAGTTCTCAGTCAGTTGAGACGAACATTTTAGGCTCAAATGCTTGAGTAAAAAGTTAATTCCTAAGAGCAGACAGACTTCCTGACTATCTTAACCTCAGAGCTGTTATATTGTTGGTGTCATACAGCAGTTTGTTTAGTCTGAAACAGACCACCGGATCCCTCTCTGGGTCAAAAGTTAACAGTAAGGTTATACAGTATTGTGTTACCAAGGTTATTAGAAAATAATCTGGAGAAAGTATTTAATTTTATTTATTCATTTTCCTCCTTTAACTTTTTTTGATCCAGATGAGCGATTAGATGCTCTGGTCAATGGAAAAGGAGCCAAACATGTCTTGGTGCCACAGAAGAGCCTTCCTGACCTGCCACCTCCCAGGACTGTAAGTTATATCATCTCGGTTTAACAGAATGAATAAACTATCATACAAATCACATCTTGGTGGGAATAGCGGGATGTCTGACCAGTAAACTTAAATGAAATGGTTCAGTGAATGTCAGATCAGTTTATCTCAATAACAGCTAATTTTAGTTTAAATGATGTTTAGAACTTCCATAAAGAACAGATCATATTAAGTCATTAAGTGAGGCTCCACGTTGGACCAGTCATGTTGCTGGAATAGACCCACACAGTAGCAGACGTGCTGCTAAATGCTAATGTTTATGTAGCTTTAGACTTTTCCTTCAGGTAACAGGACATGGCTGCTAAAAATAGAAACCCATCAGCGCATCGAACAAGAAAGAAAAACTGTGAAATTACATCATTGACAATAATTGGCCTAACAGTTAAATCGTGTGGACGTGTTTTAGCTAATTAACGTTGTAGCTGCACCGCTAACCACGCAAGTTCTGAGAGTCAGGAGTGAGACCAGAGCACGTCTCAGCTAGTAGAAGTAGCTCCACCACACGGCAGAACTCCTTCAGGATTGCGTTTTTTGTGGAGATTAAACATCAGTGTTGCCTAGTGAACAGATGCAGTGGAAGAGTTACTTTGCTTTTAGGCAATCAGAGGCGAGATGTCAGAATATCAGGAATATTAATGAGTACTACTACAAATCCTACCATTTTCTGCCTCCTTTTCTTGCATTAATTCCTTTAAGCTTCACACACACACACGTGCGCGCGCACACACACACACGTGCACACACACACACACACTTGTCTCTTTATCATTGTGTGGACCTTCACTGACTTTGATTAATTCTTGGGACTCCACTATATCTAACCTAAACTAAAACCTAATTAACACATCCACATTGCGTCGACCAGCCAAACACAATGTGGAAATGTCCACACACTACAGGTTAAAAGTCAAATATTTTCCACTTAAACATATAAAGACAAACACACACACACACACACACACACACACACACACACACACACACACACACACACACACACACACACACACACACACACACACACCCACACACACACACACACACACACACACACATACCAATCAGACTCCTCCAGTTTAAGAACTACAGTAGCAGCTGTTGTTAATCAGCACAAATCTTTTGTGTCAGTACTTGTCTCTATGTATGTGTGTGTACATGCATGTGCATGAGAGAGATGGAGTATTTGAAAAAGGAGCATTTATTTTGTGCAGCCTCTAGATTGTTTTTACTCTTAGACCTGTATTATTGATCTGTTGGATTCTTTATTGACTCACTAGTTCACAAGTGCTGTGTAGTGTCTACAAATCCCTCTGATGCACCTGACAGAGGTATTTCTTGCTCTGCATCCAGTTTTGGTGTAACCGGTCCACTTTTGGGAAGCCTGAGTAAGCATGTCCACAGTGAGCCACTCTTTGGAAATCCCTTCATCTGCCTGCGAGGCTTCCAGACATTGGCAGCTATGGTGTATTCCAGCGTAAGCATGTGTTTAACTGTGAATGCGGAGTCCCCCCTTATCTTGGCAGTGAACAGTGCCCCCTTGCTGTTGATGTAGTGACCGGGCATGGCTGTCCACTGGCCTGTGGTGATATTATAGCAGTCCATCAGGCAGCGCAGGAAATCATCACAAGGCCCATTGCGCATCACATACAAATTGTCCCTGTGAGCCACCATACAATGGCTGTAACTTTGAGGTCTGATCATCGTGGTAGTAAGCTTCCACTCGTCCTTTAGTGGTATGTACTCATAGATGTCTGTGGTGTTGGGAGGTTTCCAGAAGCACACAAACACTCGCCGACGTGCGACTGCACAGGCTGCAGATGTTAGAGGTCTTGGCGCACGTTGAATAAATGTCCACTCTCCCTTTGCAATGTCGTACCTCTCTGCTGTGGAAATGATTCTTTTTTGCACTTCCCCACCAATGGCATAGAGTTGCCCCTCATGTCCGATCAGGGTGAAGTCACACCTTGGTTGCTGGGGACCTGCAAAAGCAGACCAAACCCCTGATTCTGGGTTGTAGCAGAAGCTACTGTCCACTGTGTCCTTACCATAACCATAAATTCCCCCGACAATGTACAGTCGATTGTCTAGCACTGCTACCCCAGCCATGGAGGTACTACAAAGAGTTGGCAAGTTTGTCAGATGCTTCCACTCCCCTTGTTTTTCATCAAGGAAGCAGACAACCCTGAAAGAGTCATTCAGCATCTCCACTGAAGGAGTATGGGTTCCTATTGCAACATAAGAAGCAGGAGACAATGTTTGAGCATAACATAGCAGCTCTTCAGATATACTGCTTTCTGCTTCTTGCTTGAGGTCATTAAAGGCATCACAAAGAAAGAGAGCAGCACTGTGGAACACACGACGCAGTCCAAAGATGGCAGCAGCGTGGTAAAGCAGGAGGCAGTTGTCCGAGTCTATGATGTCACACAGATGCTGAACCAATTGTGCAATCTGCAGAAAAGCAGCACACTCCACAGCGTCGACCAGCTCGTCAGGTTCGCTGATGGGGGGATTCTCTTCCCTGCAGACAGCAAGAGCAATGAGGAAACCTCTTGCATGCACTCCATCTTTCAGGTGGATCTCTTCCTGTTTGCTTTCTTTCATCCCAGAGTGAAAAAGAGCCCGGAAATAGTCGCTGTGCCTTCTGAGAAACCTCCGCTCTACAGTGAACCAGCTCTCCTCTACTTTCACTCTCAGCCAGCCCTCCTCTCTTTCCTCCCGACCAAGGGTCACATTCTCGTCATTAATATCCTGGCTGATTCCCAGCCCTTCAGGCGCTTCCATGATCTTTTAAACCGGGATCTATTTTCTTTCTGAAGCCATCTTCAAGTAATTATTTTGTGTGTGAACTGAAAGTAGATGAGCCAATGTCCCCGAGACTTCACAGCATTAAAGCTTTGCTTGAGTTCATCTGTCTTCGTGGGCTGAAAATAGTGTCGGACTATAGATAGCCACTGCACCACTTGCGACTGTGAGGCACGAAAGAGAAAAATGTTGGCTGAGAGCTGTGATGTGGCCGCCTGCAACTGGTCATTATCATAACCGCAATGCAAGTGGCTAGCAGACATTTGTGCTGAATTATTCATGATGGCTCCTCCTTTTACGCCAACACTTTTTTGGTTGTTAAATTTGAAACTTTAAAAATGTTTCTTTATAATGATTTATGGTGAGGCATGTGTTAAACTTTAAATAATATAAATTAAAAAGTGTAGCTTATTGTTCCCATGGTGGCCAAATAATGTGAGATAAATAGTTTTGCACATCCAGGTTGTGTCTGTGTCATTTGTCCCATTTCTCTTTTTCTTAATCTTTGCAAAAGTCCTGTAACTTCTACAGAAAGGCATGATTTCTCTGGATTTCTGTTTCCAGAGCAGAGCTGCACAGATGATTTTTATCACTATCTTCTGCTTTGCCGTGTGTGTGTGTGTGTGTGTGTGTGTGTGTGTGTGTGTGTGTGTGTGTGTGTGTGCGTGTGCGTGTGCGTGCGTGCGTGCGTGCGTGCGTGTGTGTGGTGGATTCTTGGCATGGGAACCAGGGATTTTCCATGTTCCTCTGGCTGTTCGTTTTCTGGGCCCTTTTTCCCACTCTCTCCTCAAAGCCCCTCCACCACCACACCCATTTCCCTCCCCTAACACCCCCTTTTCGTTGCTCGTGTTATTTATGCTCAGTCCATTCTGTCTAGTCGGTGTTTCTGCGGTGAGGATATGTGTATGTGAGTGTGAGTGGAGGAGGATAAAGTGGCTGTTTAATGGCTGGAGGGACTCCAAAGTCTTTTAGGGGCAAAAAGTGCATATACTTGGCATGTGCCGCTTTTCTTGTCAGTCCACTCTACTGCCCTTTAGCCCACACAACAAGGAGATTTAGGCTTTAGTTTTTTTGTGTCGATGAGTGATGCATTAAGGGGAAAACGGGGAAAAGAGAAAGAGATAACAGTGGGTGGGCAGTCACTGGGGGGGGGGTGCTGCTGCTCTGGAATGCCTTTTTTTTGGGGTTTTAATTAATAACAGATGTCTTTTCTGCTCTGCGTAATCTGTTTAGCAGTCACATTAAGGGGATGTGTCTTTAAGTGGGGGACAAATAGCATGTGTTCATAATCTGAAACATTAAACCTGACACTGCCATCTTGTTTTAGTGTTTGGGTTAGTTGTGGTTCTGATGAAAGTTAAGAGGAGCCAATAACCAACTCAGCACAGCCTTAACCTTCATTTCATTTGCAGGTGAATTACCGTGTCGCAGGAAGTTCTTGTCATGTGCTTTTAATGACTGATGGGTCACAATGGTTCATTTAAAACTCGATTTATATCCTCTAAAATCTAACAGCAGTTTTTACGGCTGGAAATCACTCGCTTGTTCCGACAAGGTTAAATACTCACTTTATGTAAAAACCAAGGGTGGTAAACCATCTGCCAAAAGTGAAGCCAACACGGAAGTGACAAAAATCGCAGTTCCTACCTCACCCACTAGGGGCTGGAACCAGAAAAGAGCAAGTTCTTTTTGACTCCCATCTTAACTCATTCACTGTCAATGTCGACTAAAGCCGTCATTTGCATCTTTTTACTGTGTGGGCGTCGGAACGAGCCCCCACACCATAAGAACAAACATCCCAGCTCCAAAGCCGATCTTCTTCCGCGTGCGTCACATGTCACATGATCAGGAAGCAGAAAATCCATGTGTTAGGAGATCATTTTGGGCCGTTGCTGTAAAAAAAGTGAGGCACGAACCGGAAAAGCTTCTGCCGATCACAATTCAACAACGTATTATGAAAGAACGGATAACGCTAGAAATGCACGGATTCTTCCTGATGTAAGAGGTGAGTCTCCTCTTTGTTTTGGTTGTTTTGGCATCGACATCATCCTAGCGCGCAACATTCTGTGACTCTTAAAAAAACTGTAAAAATGGTGAGAAACGCTGGCAGCGAACAGCTTTACCGATCAGGAAACGGCTGGCAGTGAATGAGTTAAAAATACTAACTTCACAGCTGAAATAAACATGTTTACAGCCTGGTTCAAATAATATTTTATGTTCAATAGGTCAAGTTTACCATCATGACAACTCTGAGGGGGTGAATTATTTTGTAACGCATTCATTTAGATGTAACTTTAAATAAATACACTGGGGGCGAACGGGAACCCATCCAAGATGTCGGCCTGCTGCAACGCCATCTCCAATAGGCAATGCCAGTGTCTGTGACTGGAGCTTGCCTACCTGGTGGCTGCCATGTTGGATGGGTTCCCATTTGCCCCTGTGCATTTATTTCTACCAAGAAAGGTGCTTACCCAACTAAAAAACACATTTATAATGATTTTTGACTAAATCAGATATATGGCATGGCATGGTAGTGATATATAAATATAATTAACTAAAAAAAATGAAACCCCAACAGGTAGGCTTCAAAAGTCTATAGTAATCACACGTAATCTGTTGTCACCAGTGCGCCAGTCGTTAAAACTCTAGGCTGTACAAAAAAACGTGCATAATTGCTCACTCTGCATTGACTCCACTCCACTTGGGATTGGAGAGTGAGGAACCCACCCAATATGGCGGCAACGCAGTTACGCTCTCCAGCACCCAATGGCGCATTTACATATTAAAGTCTATGGAAGAACAGATCTGTCTGTAATCTGAACCTGTGACCCTGAGGACACCTGACTCAGCAGTCAGCACTGAAAGAGGTCATTTTTAAAAATAGAATTATTATATTATTGTTTAGGGGGTGCCACGGTGGCCTTGTTACTAGCTATAACCCTCCCACTGTCCTAATGGGTGTGACCCTGCGAGGAAAGTTGACCATGGAGCAGGGTTGATGGTTCATCCCTTGGGTCCACGTGGCAGGGGTGAGGCGCGAGCACCCCCTCACCCCTGCCACGTGGACTTCAAGGGCTAAACCATCAATCCTGCTCCATGATCAACTTTCCTCGCGGGGTCACACCCATTAGGACAGTGGGAGGGTTAACGATAGTAAAAATGTTACACATTTTTTAGTGGCGCCCCCTGGTGGATGGTGCTCTTAGCATTTGCATATATTGCCTTTGCAACGGACTGGCCTGGTCTTGCTTGCATTCTTTGGTCAAACTGCTGTCAACTAATGGAGCAATTACTTTTTCTGTGTTTTTTTTAAGTCAGCTTTAATGTTTCATGTCAAAATTGAAATATCTTTGTTTTTTTTTAATTGTTTTCATTACTGAATATTGCTGAACATGCACACATTCTTCTGAGGGCTAAATTAGCTGATATTTGCATTCTGAACAAGCCACCCTAAAATAAATAACTGATGTGTTTTCTTTCAAGTGTGACGATAACGTCTGGGTCCCACGCCCGTGTGTCTTCGTGGATGCCTTCCTACATGTTTTGGCATGCAGGCTACTCACACAAGTCTCTGTCACTGTAACTGTGTGTAGACTGTGACATGACACCAGTTATTATGACAGCTTAGTGCATCTGCTGCGCATTACTGGAAACGTGTTGAACTGCTAACGCAACAGTGTGGGAAAACCCCTCGAGCGGGGACCTTTCTGATTAATGGGAGTTACGGGGTAACGGTGTCTAACAGCCCACATCAGAAATGATGATTGTTAGATTTTCACTTAAAGGGGCAAATTTGATTTGTTTCTCATTTTTGTGCATCTGTAATTCAAAGACTAACCCAGCACTCTGCTCTTAATTTAAGTTGTGGTCAAACGAAGGTCCCCACCAAACAGAAATGACAAAATTACTCTATTTTTTTAAGAGGTTGGACATTTTTGTTTCAGCTTTAGTTGTGCTGAGGGCAAGTATTTTCATCCAAGTGATGAACATTTTGTTTGATGATGCCTCTCCAGTTAGTCTGGTATATTCAGCTACAGTGGTTACGAGTTCAATGTCTTTGATTTTTTACAAATATCGTAATTTTTACTGGAACCAAAGCAAAAGTGAAAGAATGCAGCATTTGTTATGCCAGTAATGGGAGGAAACTTTCAAGAAGTTTTAAATTATTTGAAACCATTAAAGGACTTTGTCATTTATTTGACTTGTTTGTGTGACCTCATAGGGGATCCTCCTCCATCCAGCAAGTATATCTTCATTCTCAATCACTTTTGCATCTTTTTACTTGCAGCTTTGTTTGTTTTTGAGCTGCAAGCCCAAACTTGTCTTATCTGTCATCATTGTAGAAACCCAACATTCTTAGATCTGTGATTAGTTGAGAAGTTGAGAAGCTCTAGATTTTCAAGGGAAAAGTTTCAACTTGCAGAGTTTTGACTTCAGTGACGAGAGCCTGATGACAAACTGCACATAATTGATCTGATTGCACAAAAATTGTTTCAACATAATTTTATATTGAGTTGTAAAACATTTTCTGAGTTTCATTTTATTTTTCTTTCACTGTAAGTTGCACCAAAAGAAACGTCTGTTTGACTTAATCTTAAAAATACCTCATTTTACATGCCAGTAATCATAATTATTTTACAAAATTGGGACGCAGCTAATAAGAGAGAGCTAATGTAAAAGATGTATCAGAATGAATTCTTTCACATTCCCAGTCAGTTCTCCCCAAGGACAATCAAAATAACTCAAAACCTTTGGAATAATGTGACTCATTTCCTGTATTTGGTTGAGTTCTTGGTATGAAGCGAACGGTCAGTCGTTATCGCACAGGATATGACGAAAGACAAAAGTCAAGCCAGTCTTTGGATTGATTTCAGGAAAAGACACAAAAACACAAGCCAACACACTCCCTCAGTCATTCATTCTCTTAAGACCAACGTGTAATTGTCCAGCAGACTGAAGCAACATGGTCCCCAAACCTATTCCCGAGGAGACGGCTGATTTAGCTACTTACTCTTATTTCAGTTATCTTAAAGAATGTATGAAGTTTGAATAATGAATGTTAAAATGTATTTGATAAAAGAAGATTTGTCTTTTTTTATTGTTAAATTTCATGTCTTCTTCTCCATCAATTTTATCAGAGTATGGGAGTTCGGGAGCCGTTCCCTTTGCCTGCAGTTCCAGCTCCAGCTCCTGCTTGTATAGACTTCTCTGACGGTTACTACGAGGAGGCTCAGCCCTACGAAGAAGCTGATAATGGTAGGAATTGTAACTAAATCTTTCTCATCATGTCTTCTATGGCTAATTCGGGAACTGCTAGGTTAACTCTTAGTTGAGTTTGGTGCCATCTAGCGAGGAAAGTTTAGAATACAAGTAACTGGAGTTTGAAGTGATTTAGCCTAAAAGTAGTCTCCACATGCTCTCAATTATAAGCATCATTCAATGGAGCATTGATGAAAATGTTTTGGAGATGTATTTTTGTTTGTATATTTGTTAATTTCAGAAAGAATGTCAACTTTGCTGCTTCGTTATTGTTTTTCCCCTCAATGCTGTGTAGATCCAGAGGGTTCTGGCCTCCTGTCGGGGCCCTGGATGCGAGTGCACTGCTCTGACCATGTGGTCTATGCTGTTATCACCAGTGGTAGCTAGGGACCTGTGTGTCTGTGTGGAATGTCTGCAGCTTGTTGAGATGCACTGTCAACCAACATGTGCATGGGGAGATTAGCATGGACAGAGCCCTGGCATGTACAACCAACAACTACCAGTCAGAACATCATCATCAATCATCAGACGTATCATGTATGCATTCCATCATAACCTGACATCAAGTTTCTGGCTACCACCCATCAATTATTTCAGTTTTCTTAATTGCTTGAGTGTTTTCAGGAAAACTCTCATTCAAGAGGGTGAAAAAAAAATCTGACTTTAACCTCATTAACTCCTTCATACTCATTCAACAGATTCTGCTTGCTTAGAATCGACCGGCCCTTTTGTACATTACTGTAAATCATTGTATCTGCCTTTCTTGTTTTCTCAGATGATGGAGAAGCAGTTAGTAGTTCATACGAGTCCTACGATGAGGAGGAAGTGACCAGAGAGAAGTCTACATCATCAGCTCAGCACCAGTGGCCATCTACTGAGGCGTCTATTGAGCTGATGAAGGATGCTCGGATCTGCGCCTTCCTGTGGAGGAAGAAGTGGCTCGGCCAGTGGGCCAAACAGCTCTGCGTCATCAAAGATTATCGCCTCTTGGTGGGTAACAAACTCTGGTCAAATGAATGCTGAACTCAGAGCGAGTTGCTTTTTTTTGTAAAACATCAGGAGCACATTCGATTTGTCAATACTCATTGAAATGACGTTCATTGTGCCACAGTTAATCAATAAGAAAAACTTTTTTTTTCTAGTAGGCACGGGATATTAGTGTATAAATCTCTTTATCTGCCAACAGTTTCGGCTCCTCAGCTGAAGCCTTCTTCATGGGCTGCCCCATGAAGAAGGCTTCAGCCGAGAAGCCGAAACTGTTGGCAGGTAGTGACAGAAAGAATTAGATTGTAGATACAAGCGGCCAAAATGAGTTTCCATTGCAGGGTGGCTGGACTCTTTCTTAGAGATAGGGTGAGACACTCGGTCATCTGGAAGGAGCTCAGAGTAGATCCCATGCGCCTCCACATGGGGAGGAGTTACCCCAAAATTCCACTATCTCCGCTCCGCTGCGCTCCGGCACGAACTCCACAGCAAAAACTGTCCCGTTGTAGTCAATCAGAGCTGTTCCACTACTGCGGCCATGTGGCGCAGTGCGCCACCCGCCGTTCCGCCATTCGGCAAAAATAGGATCGATTCTATTTTTGCCAGACGCCGGAGCACCTCCGCAGTCAATGGACAGAAATCACAACCACCCAACAGGAAAAGGAGCAAGCACAACTTCCGTTATTTCACAAGAAATCGATAAACAAAAAGCGTTTTTTGTTTCATATGCACAGGTTTAACAACTTTTAACAACTATCAATGGCGGTTGAACTTTAAATGCACAAAAATAAGCCATAAATACAGTTTCCACTGCTGATATCTCAACACAAATGATGGGCAGATTAAACAGTTCATTTCGATGCTTCTCCCACACAACGGGTGTTTGGATCTAACTTCCACGTTTATTGCTTGGACTGTATCGCAAGATCTCGAAAATCCCGCGCATGCCTGTTTTCGCACCTCAGGTCTCCGCACCGGAGCGGAGCCGTTGTAGAGCGGGTACCTGTAAAAATTGAGTTCGGAAGCGAGTGGCTGCAGAAGGCGGGGGCGGAGCGGAGGTAGTGGAATTTTGGGGTTAGTTGAGGTGGCCTCTCTGCTCAGGCTGCTGCCACTGAGACCCAACCTCAGATAAGCAGAGGAAAAAAGATGGATTAAGTTCAATTAACACCAAGGAGTATAATCGCCTCTATAAGGTGCCAGTTTGCTTCTCTGGAGAATATAGGTGTGGGTTTACACAGTCCCAGGGAAAGATCGTCAGCAGTGATCTTAGAGAAAGGGCTCTAAGTTTAGTTTCAATCATTTAATTTCTAGTGCTGCAAATAATTGTTTATAAACATAAAACTTTCAAAATGGCTTTTAATTTTTCCAGGAGTGAATGTCTCTGCTAATTTAGATGAAGGTAAGATGGTGCATAAAATGAAAATTCTCACCAAGAATCCTTCACCAGGTTGATCGTTTATAAAAGTGCAATTAGATAAAGTCGAAAGTCTCAGAAAGGATGTGGTTGTGCAGCTTAGCGTCGCAAAGTTGCATCTAAAACAACCCAAATGGCATGTGGTTGAAATAGAAATGACTGACCATAATGCAGAGCACCGTGTTTCTTGAAGGCTAAATATAAACCCAATGTCCATGTTCATATCTGGTCAAAACCTCTTAACCAACTATAGAGCACGATGATGGAAGGTCAATAATTTGGGCTTTACAGTTGACCGTAAACTTTTATATACAAGTGTATTCTTGAGTCAGAGGTGAACGTATGCATCTGACAGCTGCTGCTTGACCAGGGCAAAGGTCGGAACAGTTGAAAGGGATGCAACTGTTGCAATAGTCAACTCAGTCCAGAGATGAATATGTATAATGGAGCTTTAGGAACGCTTATTGTCCACAAAACCTCAATAAACTGAAGATGTAAAAAAGAGTGGGTAAAAAGGTGTGAAATCACAAAGCTATCCAAAAGGGTTCACATAAAGGCAACTGGACTTCTATGGTTTCTTGAAGATGTTTCGCTTCTCATTTGAGATGACAAAGCTCCTCGGGCTGCGTGGTGGCGCAGTGGTTAGCACTGTTGCCTCTCAGCAAGAACGTTGCAGGTTCAAAACTCAGCTGCGGCCTTTCTGCAGGGAGTTGCGTGTTCTCCCCATGCATGCGTGGGTTACCTCCGGGTACTCCGGTTTCCCCCACAGATCACAACATGCCCTATAGGTTAACCATTGTATGTCACTTTGGATAAAAGTGGCTTCCAAAGAAATAAACATAAACCAAAGAAGTCCAGTTGCCTTCATTTGGACCCTTTTGTGGCACTTAAACATTAGCGTCGGCACGGGCCCATACGGTATCGACCGGCACCGGAATTTGGTTTCACATACAGGTCCGATTTGCGTTTTAGGTGACGAGGCGACTCTTTTTCTCAAACCTTCTCCCCAGCGGTCAGACTGGGAACGAGGCGACACTATGGACTGATTGGCTGGGTGAAACTACGCCTACCGCCTCCAATCTGCGAGAAGAATGAGCCAGCGGGGTAGTTTCCCGCACACGCGATTTATTTTCATGCTGGATGCTGTTGAGTAGACTTCTGTCTGTAGCATGGAGCTGCTGTTCCAGAGCTGCCGTTAAGTGTGGGAACGGGAGAAAAGAATAGGTGTGTGTGTGTGTGTGTGTGTGTGTGTGTGTGTGTGTGTGTGTGTGTGTGTGTGTGTGTGTGTGTGTGTGTGTGTGTGTGTGTGTGTGTGTGTGTGTGTGTGTGTGTGTGTGTGTGTGTGTGTGTGTGTGTGTGTGTGTGTGTGTGTGTGTGTGTGTGTGTGTGTGTGTGTGTGTGTCACAAGATTATGAGGACATACACAGCTCATGTTTGCCTTTTGTTTACCTTATGGAGCGGACTTTCCTGCGCGTATTAAGCACCGCCCACAGGCTCGGGGATTTCTGCATTCTTGAGAAATCCCTCAGATTTATATGTGAACACTATACCGCCCGAACCAGCCCGACCAAACGCCGGCCGTGCTGGCGCTAATGTGTAAGCACCATTGGATTACCATGGCCTGGATGACTGAGAACTTTCACCAGCATATCACAAGGTTACGTCAGTTTTCAGACAATGCTACTGCACTTAGATTTCCTTTTTGTTTACTTTGACTGTTTTGTGACATGTGCTTTTTGTAATTTAATTTAAATTGATATGTATCATCAGGTTAAGAGAGGCAGATGAAGTGATGCACCCATCATGCCTAGTGCCTACTGTACAATCCTGTGGCAGCAGTGCTGTGATCTGGGGTTGCTGCACTTGGTCAGGTCTAGGTTCAGCAACAGGATGTGCTCCACGAATGAGGTCAGATGACTACCTGAATATACTGAATGACCAGGTTGTTCCATCTTCCCTGATGGCACAGGCATATTCCAAGATGACAATGCCAGGATTCATCAGGCTCAGATAGTGAAAGAGTGGTTCAGGGAGCATGAGACATCATTTTCACACATGGATTGGCCACCACAGAGTCCAGACCTTAACCCCTTCGAGAATCTTTGGGATGTGCTGGAGAAGGCTTTGTGCAGCAGTCAGACACTACCATCATCAATGCAAGATCTTGGTGAAACATTAATGCAACACTGGATGAAGATCAATCTGGTGACATTGCAGAAGCTTATCGAAACAACCCCACAGTGAATGTGTGCTGTAATCAAGTTTAAGTGTATTTTTTACTCTATTTTTGACTTTTGACACAATTTTCTTTATTCAAAGTTTACATTGTGAAAAGACAAGAACTTCTGGCCACATTTCTGATTTCTCTGCTTCTCTCAGTGCTACAAAAGCTCCAAGGACCAGACGCCCCTGCTGGATGTGAGTCTGCTGGGCTGCAGTGTGACTTACAAAGAAAAGCACCTCAAGAAAAAAGAGCATAAGCTGAAGATCATTCCTGTTGGAGGGGAGGCCATAGTGCTGGGCCTCCAGAGCAAAGACCAGGCCGAGCAGTGGCTGAAGGTGACACATTCAGCGTTTTCTGTCATTTTAAATTGAGTTTTGTGTAATTGTGTAGAATTAGCTTATATCTCTTTATGCACTTTAGGTTATTCAAGAGATCAGTCCCAAGCCACTTGAGGACCTGCAAAACTCTGATTCACCGAAGCTCATCTGCACAAAGGTATGCTGATTTTATCCTTTAGCCCCGGCTCAGTAAAATAATCTTTCTTTAAAAAAAACTTTTGAAAATGAAGCATTTGAAAACCATAAATGTTAAAACAACCACAGGGAGAGCTGAATGAGAGGCACTCTTTGGCTTCAGAGAGTAGCAGCAGTACAGACAGCCACGCTGAGATGGCAGAAAACAAAGATGGTAGGTGAACTCACAATCTGATTTCTCTAGTGTCCTCACTCAGATTTTCTCAGCACAGGCTCAGTATTGTTTTTTTTTTCTTCACAGTGAAGAAAAAATCTGGTCCAGGTTTGATGTTTAGCAACCTGATCAACATCGGGAAGAGAAAGCCTTCGGTCCTCGAGAGCCCTGAGAAAAGTATCGAAACCTCAGGTGAACCCAGATCTACCTCTTTATTCAAATGTCTGGATCTTGTAGGAGGATTTCACAGATTTCTCTTTTTAGCCACATCAAGGTTACATTCAGGCATCAAAACTCAGTTAAGGCACACGTCATGCTGCATGGTGGCGCAGTGGTTAGCACTGTTGCCTCGCAGCACGAAGGTTGCAGGTTCGAAACTCGACTGCGTCCTTTCTGCGTGGAGTTGCGTGTTCTCCCCATGCATGCGTGGGTTTCCTCCGGGTACTCCGGTTTCCCCCACAGATCACAACATGCCCTATAGGTTATAAATTGTAAGTCGCTTTGGATAAAAGCGTCTGCTAAATAAATTAACATAAAAATAAAAATAAACACATCTCCAGTCAAATCTATTGGATCACATAGCAGCATGCTACTAAAACATGACTCTGTCTTTTATAAACCCTTCCTTACGCTGCATTTCTTTACTCCCGCCTCCGTCGTTGCTCAGGGTACCTGAATGTGCTGCTGAACAGCCAGTGGCGGGCCTGTTGGTGTCTCATAAAGAACCAACAGCTGTGGTTCTACCAAGACAAGGGCAAGAACAAAATGAACCAGCCAGCTTTGACTCTGGAGGGCTGCAACATTTTGCCCGACCCAAGCCCTGAACACCTCTACTCCTTCAGGATTGAGATGGACGGCACGCAGCTGGCAACTCTTGAGGTAGAAACAAACTTCTTTCACTTAGGTGTGGATTAGGAGAAAATGCTTGAGTCTTTGCTAACCCCCATTCTACAGAGCAGGTTTCAGACTGGATCAGAGTGCTACGCTTCAGCTAAAGCTTCTGTAAATAGATCTTGATACATGTGCTAGGTTTTTTCTGCTTCAGGTAAGACCTTACTGCTTCGTCATGGTGTGTTTCTGAGTGATCTGAAAACAAGCTGAATGAAGCCTGCCTCTGACTCGCTCTATGGAATATCCACACAAGGGTGGTCCATGTGATGGTGAGGGTGCGGATGAGCTGGGATTTCAGACTTCATGCTACACCCTTTTTCATTAGTTCTCCACTGCCACGCAGCGTATTTGGTCATAGCGTTTGGAATTTGATACTTAGCCTTGAGGTCTCCTGTTGTTTTTCTGTTCTTATGAACCTTAAAACTGGTCCAAAGGCAGATTATTTTGGAAATCTACTGTATAACGAATAATAAAAGGTTCTCTTTCCTTCAAAAAACCTCTAAACACTTCACTTCTCAAAAGGATTAAAATAATAAATGGGATTGTGGCAATCACTTTATTAATTCAAAGCGACGAATGGCATGCTAAATGAGCCCATTTGGCTTTGCATGATGTTGCAAGAGCTCGTGTTGTTCTTACTCTTTTTCCATCCTTCAAACAGGCGAAAACATCAGCAGACATGGGTCACTGGCTGGGCCTCTTGCTGTCACAAACGGGGACCAAAACCGACCCAGAAGACCTCGCATATGACTACGTCAGCCCTGACAAAATCTCTAGCATCGTCAGTGCTGCCAAGGCTTCGTTATAGTAAGTCGTCCTCTCAACAGGATGCTGATCTGTATGCCTTTGTGGTGGGATGAGCAATATGGCCTAAAATCAACATCACGATATGAGGATTTCACCTCGATAGCGATAAATGGACGATAACTTCAGGTATGCGCAGAAACAAAAGTTGCCTACTAGATGGAGCTGTCACGTGTATTACGTTGAGTCACATTTTTACGTGCCTCTAGGTAGTACAGCTTCTTAAAGGGACATGAACGTTGCCAACCTACACACATCTTTTCATTTTTTTATTACCAAATTTATTGACATGGGAAAATGATCTAAGAGTCAGAAATTTCGATTAATTTTTGGTTTGTTGCCCAGCCCTACTTTGTGGTATTCAGGTGTTTATTTCTGTTTCTGTAGTTTGATGCAAAGAAAATACTCTGAGCCAAATACGTACATCGACTCCATACCTTCCATCTCTCAAAACTCAGATGAGTTGTATGATGATGTGGCATCTCCAGCTGATCTTAAGGTATGCATACGGATTAGGAGTCCCTGTGGTTTCGGTTTCATTTTGACCCACGCCCCTTTCCTCTGGCTGCTCTCCATCAATAACATCCACCTCCTGTGTTATAAAGGATGCTGAGGAAAGCAGCACAACAAACTGTGAGGTCAACAAAGACCAGGAGCAGAATGCTCAGAAGTCAACCGAATCAGAGGAAGACGACAGCCGAATTTATTTGGATTTAGTCCCTTTGCCATCCTTCCTCCACACAAGTAGTGGACATAAATCCTCTCCTGTCAATGACACTTCCAGAGTGTCTCCTGTCGCTGTGGACAAAGAGGTTGGTTAAGTCAATTTCGACCACTCTAAAGGTGTCTTTCTACAGGTGTAACTGGAAAAATACCAATGTGGTGCGGAAGTCCATTAATTTCAGAAATCCAAAGACCATCTAAAGGCTCAGGAACCCCTTGCGGGTGTTCTGGATTAATTAGCTGATCTGAGTGTGACACTTTGAGTCTAGAATATTGAACCGTTTCACGATATTCTGAGATGTTTAATGTGGGGTTTTCATCAGCTGTGAGCCATAATCATCACAATTATAACAAATAAAGGCTTAAAACATTTGACGTTGCCTGTAATGAGTCTATCTCACATATTAGTTTCGCCCTTTAAGTTGAATTACTGACATGAATTCTCTTTTGCACCATATTTAAATTTTTCAAGTTTCACCTGTACCAAAGGGCCAGAGCAGATCACCAGGGTAGAATTTTACCCCACAAAATGTCTTTTTAGGGAGGAAGTGTCTTTTTTTATTTTATTTTTCCAAAACACCTGTAACTCTTGGGGTGGTTGAGTGAAATATTGATGGAAACTTAATATCAGGGTAATGAAAACCTCCAGGTCACACAGTGGTGATGCACCTTAAAGGTAACAAACGGGTGTGTGTGAGAAACAGAATTTTAACCCAACCTATCTTCATCACAGGAGTCCAGCTCCCCCACTACCAGCAAACCAGAGCAACAGTCACAGACCTCATCCCAAAGCCAGGAGAGCACAAAGAGGACAGCCTTGACAATCCCACAAGTCTTCAGCTCTTCTGGGGCACAGATCCATAGGAGTCCATCAGCTCAGACTCCTGCCAGCAAATTCCCTCAGAGCCCACAGGCAGGAAGACAAAAGGCACACACCATAGGTGGGTAGAAATGGGGATGATGGCGTTTAAATCCAATACTGTCAACGCCATGGCTTCTCAAACAAGAGGCCACCTTCTCACTGCTCTAGCTCCCTCTACTGGAAAACAGCATCATTCACACCTAGAGGCCCTGCTTTACATCTTTTTCATTCTCCTGCTCCCTTTAGTTGCCAAAATGTGCATGCTGACTGGTGATATTTCTTAAAATGATCAACACTTTAATCCCCCAGGAAGTCCAATTTCTGTCGATGTAAAATTTGGCAAGAACCGCACCGAAGCCGACATGCGACGCTACACGGATGAGAGGAATCGTCTAGAGAAAGAAAAAGAGGAAATGAAGAGCAGTTTGGCCAACCTGAAGAGGGAGAAAAGGGAAGTAAAAGAGGAGCTGAATGCCTGCCAGGGTATGTTTATTCCTGCGACTCTTTGTTGCTGATGAATAATCAGCCCGTGACTGACGGCTGTCTGCTACCGTCAGACCCCAAGCAGCAGGCCTCCCTAGAGGCCCGCCTGAAGCAGAAAGAGGAGGCGTGTCGTGAAGCGGAGGGCCGCAGGGTGGAGGTAGAGCTTCTGCTGGTGGAAGTGAAAGAAAATCTGAAGAAAGTGGAGTCGGGGCCTTTCACACTGGGTACCACACTGGACAGCAGTCTCCATGAGACAAACACGGTTAGTCCAGAGAGCATTGATTTTCTTCATGTAATTTCATTTTTAAACCTAAACACCTTCTACTTTTTACTTACTCAGGTTAAATCAGCAACCTTACCCAATTCTCCCATATCACTATCATCACCCTCCTCTGCCTCGCCTCAACCTCCCAACATTACCGTGGCAGATTCTGCTTCTCCCGTCAACTCTGCCTCAGCGCTCAAAAACAGGCCGTCTTCCATGATGGCCACGAAGGGCAAAGTCTTGCTGAAAGCTAAAGTGAGAACTATTATTTTAATATACAGATGTTAAGTTCAATTAATTTGAAAAGCAAAAAAAAAAAATGAAATTCTTTGCATGTATTTGTAGGAATGGGAGAAAAAATCCACCACCTAGAAGCAAATCCATCTTCCTCTCGTCTGAGTCTTCATCCTGATCCTACCTAGAGTGAAGAACCAATCAGAAGGAAGCACAAGCAGTCTTTCTGATCACCACTGGATATTCTTCAACACAGACTTTTTAAGTTGTTTTGCAAAGGAACACATTTGATGATGAAGTAGCAGAAAATGCACAAGTGGGTTGTTTCAACGTTTCGACAATTTCTATAAAAAAACAGAAACCACTATATTTTAAAGCAGAAAGAAGCCCCTTTTTTAAAATGACCATTTTGTACATTTTAGATTGTAGCTTGGTTCATGTATGCTGGTAGCCAAGATGTAAATATATTTACGCCATTTTTCTGCCTTTTGACTTATATTGCTAGCTAAACTGCACTTTTTATTCTAATAAAGCTTTGTGTTCATCTGGTGATTGAGCTCAGCAAATATTAACCATGAAAGGCTAAATTAGTCAGCAGCCAATTTAAAATGTTTTATGTAAAGGCTTTTAATTACAGAATCACAATTTTCAATCACAAATCAAACAAATTCCTTATTAAAGTTGGGGCATGGGGGAGGTAGCTCAAAAATCTAGTGATCTTTCATAATTTATATTTGTCCCCAGTCCCTCCCCCGGCCTGTAACCAAAACAAATCATTACGTGAGCCTAGAGCATCTGGACTGTTCCAGTTTGTTGCAATGGAGGGAATCAATACCCCATTCATTCATAGGAAATCAATTAAAAATTGAGTTTAGAGCACTGTAGCTAGGTGGGTTTACCACTTTGACTGCACAATCTGCGCGTGTTACAAAAACGCCATTGAATTTGTGCTTTAAGCCAAATAAGAGAAACATTGTGTAGAGTGAGTTCCCTTGTGGCTTAAACCAGAATTGTTCCTCGTTTTAAAGAATTCACAAGTATTTCTACTAAGTGTGGCAAGGTGGAGAAACGATGCCTGGGCGGGATTCAATCCCCAGACTCCCGGGTGAGAGTCATGCTCACTAACCAGTCAGCCAAAGGGACATCCCTTTGGCCAAGTAGCCAGGGCGCATGATCAATCGGGACACTGTGACAGGACGCTCACACTGCCACATAAGCAGGGGTGGACTGGCAATCTGAGTTCTGGAGAATCCCAGAACGGCCGGTGTGCTGCCAAAGCTGCCCTCGTTAGTGCAATGCTATATATATGAGGTGTGGCTACTTCCTGAAGGGAGAAGGGGACAGGGGGGCGACAGCCATTTAAAACATTAAAATCATCTCCTGTCCTCGATGGAGTCAAGCTGCGGACCACAGTTTCAAAGTTGTTTGAGATCAGGTGGAATTGGTCCTAAAAACAAGGATTCGAGCATCTCGTTCCTTACAGAAAATAATCATTTATGTAAATAACCAATCTTTTTATAAAATAAATACCATTTAAACAGTTTAACAAGGACTGAAGATCAGTATTACCCTTTAGTTTTGCTTTTAGCACCCTCTAATGTCCATTAATTCTGTGGTTAAACCAAAAATGAAACTTTTCTCCTAACTGTGCGCTCATCTTTTTAACATCTTAATCTAACCACTGAAATGTGTCCTTAGCCTTCATTAGTGTCTACAGGAGTGTTTCGTCACTACGTAAAACAAATCAGCTGTGTTCATGATCTAAAACATGCAGGAAACTTGCTAGAAGCAGACTACAGTGCCTGGTATGTCCCACCCCCAACAGGTGGAGGCCCGCCACTCTGAAGTTGCAAGTGTGATATTCTGGCCACAGAGGGCAGTGGGGGGTCTGAGTGGCCTTTCTTTAACCATGTAAAGGGTCATTTTAGCACATACTGGCTCAAGTAAATAATTTAAAAATATGAAAAAGTTGCATAATATCCCTTTAAATAAAAAAAAGTATTAAGCATCCTGAAATCGATTTGATTGTCCATTTTGGTCCATCCATCCATTTTTAGCTGGTTATTCGGAATTGGGTCGCGGAGGCAGCAACCTAAGCAGAGAGGCCCAGGCTTCCCTCTCCCCAGCTACTTGGGTCAGCCCCTTGGGGGGAATCCTAATGCGTTCCCTGGTCAGCCAACAAATATAGTCCCTCGAGCACATATGGACACCGTTATGTCTGAACATGGTGTTTGTTATGGACAATCCATGACTAGCACAGAAGTCCAATAACAAAACACCACTCAAATTCAGATCGGGGGGACATTCCTCCCAACCACACCTCTCCAAGCCTCCCTGTCATTACCTGAGTGAGCGTTAAAGTCCCCCAGCAGAACGAGGGAGTCACCAAAACAAGTGCTCTCCAGCACCCCCTCTAAGAACTCCAAACAGGGTGGGTAATCTGAGCTGCAGTTTGGTGCATATCGCAAACCACAGTCAGGACCTGTTCCCCCACACGTAGGCAAGGGAGGCTACCCTCTCGTTCACGGGGGTAAACGTACAGGCACCAAGATGGGGGGGCAACAAGTATGCCCACCCCTGCTTGGCACCTCTCATTGGGAGCAACTCCAGAGTGGTAGAAATTCTAACCCCTCTGGAGGAAACTTTAGCCATCTGTCGAGGTGAGTCCAACTATATCTAATCAGAACCTCTCAACCTCACACACCAACTCCGGCTCTTTCCCACCAGAGTGGTGACATTCCACGTATCGAGAGCTAGACTTTATAGCCAAGGATCAGACCGCAAAGGTCCCTGCCTTCGGCTACCACCTGGCACACAATGCACCTGACCCCTTTGGCCCCTCCCATGAGTCCATTTTAGATTTTATTTTATTTTTTTAATGTAATAGCCTCTGCTTTTCAAGTGATTTTTAAAATGCACACATTACAGTTTTTGGCTTAAAAAAAGGAAATGTGAAAATCTTGGCCCATGTATTACAAAATAAAATTATAGTTTGCATCTTTAAACAGCTAAAAGAACCACATAGAAACCAATATAACAAGACTAATGAGGCGACAGAAATAGAAATACACAAGACATTTAGAAAAATCTCAGCTTTGTCTTTACTCCACAAACATCCCTGGTTCAGAAGTGTGTGTGTGTGTGCGCGCATGTGCGTGCGTGCGTGTGTGTGTGTGTGTGTGTGTGTGTGTGTGTGTGTGTGTGTGTGTGTGTGTGTGTGTGTGTGTGTGTGTGTGTGTGTGTGTGTGTGTGTGTGTGTGTGTGTGTGTGTGTGTGTGTGTGTGTGTGTTTTATTTGCGTATCAGGCAACGGGTCTTCGACGGTGTAGTTTATAGTGACGTGGAAGCTCCTGGTGGCTCTTCCTCAGGCCAGTTGGTTTTGGGAGATCTCCTCTAGATGAAGACCTATCGCTTCCTGGAAGAAAAATAATAGATTACGATTTCTACAGATAATAAAACCATTGCTTTTTCATCATTACTTTCTATCCAACATAATGACAGATTACCTTTACAAGTAGAAAAGTTGATGTAATTCAGATATCAGAGGGAAGGAAATAAATCTAGGACACTTCTAAAATGCATGTACTCTTACTTGTTTCACAATGTGGTCCTTCGTAGCCTTTGCATTGACACCTGAAGCTCCCTCCTGACAGTATGGGTGTGCACATATTTACAGGTTTCTTCACTTCTGATGAAAGGAATTTCCAACATAATTTATATGCAGACAAATTATACAAATTATGTTTTTTTGTGTCTAAAATTTCATTTGTGTTTTCTATTTCAATGCAGTTGGGTACTGATGAGGGAAATTTCTAAATGAAAACCTTTACCTGTGCACATCATTTGCACAAGAACATCCTCATGGTACTTGAGATCCTCGTAAGACGGCACAGCAATCATATGATGCTCTGAGCCTGCGATCTTCAGCAGCCGGTCTCTTTGCATGTCTCCGATGCCAACCACAAAAACAGAGACTCCACTGTCTCTTATCTTGTGAGCGGGCACAACAGCATCGTCCCCACCTGAACCGTCCGTAAACACCACCACGGCCTTATTAACTCCTGGCCGTGCACCTTTAGCGAAGGTCAGGACGTTGGAGTAGATGTGGAGAAGAGCTGAACCAGTTGACGCCACTCCTCCCATATAGCTGGCATCACCCACAGCCCTGAGGGTGGCAGAGCCGGAGTCGTGGGTGTCCAGGCCAAAGACGGTGTGGGCTCTTCGACTGTAGATAACAAGGGCTACTTGAGCCACGTCGCGGTTGATGTCAAACTGAACGGTGAGGCTGCGCACAAAATCCTTCAGCGTAGCAAAGTTCTCCCGGCCAACACCGCCTGAGGCATCCAGGGCAAACACAAGGTCCACCGCTTGACCCAGACAACCTGAAAACACAACTTTAATGATTGTAAGATCATTTATAAACGGAACTTTAAGATCCCTGCCAGAGGCTCGTTTCAGACCCAGGTACATCCAAAATATTTCTACGATCTAACATTTTAATTAGTTACACTCTAGACTATAAGCCCTACAGACACGTCAACTATCAATCAACTCTGGAATACAAGATGCAAAACGTTTCCATATTATGATACAACAGCATTTACCATTTGACCTAAAGGTGGTGCTAATGTACCGACTTTTACAGGAATAGGCCTGCAATAACTCTAAAGTGACAGTGTGTAGTTTTTACTGTTAATCTATGTAAATATCAATCAAAATGTTGTTGAAAATTAATTAAATGATGCCCAGTTATTGAAAACTATTGGCGGCTTCGTAACACACAACCATAAAAATCAGGTCTAAAATAAATGGGAGCGGGTCTAAGTCTCTGGGCAACTTCATATTAGATGCCATGTTTCCTTCTACGGGAGCCCTTAAGGACAAAACGCATTTATTGATTTGTAACAAACAGTAAAAAAATTTCACCATTCATAAACGTTGTTGATATTACACATTTATCTCTTCACTTATTGCCAGTGATGAAAGGGAGTCTGGTGTGCTCATCATTTTGCTGAAGTTTGCACTCCCTGAGGCTTTTTGACCCTAATGGGCATCCATTGGTGACACAAAAATACAGCTTGCTTGCTGCCCCATAATGCCAGGAAAAATACACACAGTCACTTTAAAGACCAGATTTAAATAGAAATAATTTCCTATCCCATTATGTGAAATAAGGGCTAAAGGTGCATACAAATCATTTAGTTTAGCTATTAATGAGTTAAGATTGAATATTGAACAATTGAATAAAAAGCTATTTTTTTTTATTTTACCTCCACAGGGCATTTAGAGGTGTGCAGAATGAAGGTACAGCTTTTCATTTAAAAGCTATATTTAAATTAAAATAGTTCATGCTTGCATCTACCAGCCAATGGAGAGCACCATTGTGGGTTTTCAAACAGTCCACTTGGCACAGCGAGGCTGGCACTGTGGAAAATGGTAAACTTGTCAGGTCAAGCAGCAGCTTCTGAGCTCAGAAGATGGCTTAATCCCAATATTCGAACTGCACCCTGTGGTCTTTAGCAAAGTGCACTTGGAGGAAGTGCACAGTAAGGCTATGAGTGCATAGTATACAAGTGTGCAAATAATTGCCAGAGTGGGACACTGAGCGTTGCGTCATCGACCGCAGCGCGTGCCGTTCGCTGCTTGTGCTACTTAAAAAAAATCTTCTTTAACAACTTTTAAACCAACAATTTCTCGACTGAATTTACATTAATTGCTGTCCACATTAAATCTTAATCTAAAACATTCACACCATGAATAAATATAATTAATCATCTTAAAATTAACTTCTTTCATTTGAAAATACACATTTCTAGAAAAGGCTATTGAGCCATTGCTTTGGCCTCTTCTCAAACTTTCCACACAGCAATGAATTGCAGAATACCCTTGACCGAAGTCCACATCGATGCAGACTTCGGCCAAGTGCGGATCAAATTTCCCACTTGGGAATCAGGACACTCTACACACTCGCACTCCTGGACTGAAACGTGCAATTGAAGGGCACAAGGGTGGAAGTATGAGTATTGGGATTGGACCATTGCCATTATCCTGTTCAGAAGAGGAGCGACCATTAAAGATCTAAAACCAGAGAGAGTTTAAGTGAAGCCTACAACAGATGGACCCAAATAAAATATTTCACATATCAGCAGCGAACCTGGTATCCCGACGGCTGGAAACCTTGTTACACATGTTGCTTTGGCGTTCGTGTTCCACTTTCCACCTTTAAAGGTGCTCATCAGACAGTTAGTACTAGGGATGTAAGAAAACATGGCAATATATCGCAATATTTTTCTTGTGCTATTGTATCGATATTCAATAGCCGTGTATCGAATTTTTGTAAGAATTTACATGCAGCTTTTGTGTATTTTCCTTTCCTTAGGTGCAATTCAAACACCAACCGCTACTTGGCAGCAGTGTGCAATGGGTTTTGTTTCCACCACTGAATTGTAAATCCCTCTATTATGGTTCAGATACGTCATGTTAAACATGCTACGTATCAGTTTGGACCGTTTACTGAATTTTCCCACAATAATTTCAGTCTAAAAAATTGCTAATATCGTCTGGCTGAATGTATCGCAATATATCATGATATATCGTATCGTCTCCCCTGTATCGTGATACGTATCGTATCATCAGAATTTCACCAATACACATCCCTAGTTAGTACCTTGCATATCTACGCTGCAGACCTTGGCCTTCAGCTCTGGTATCTTCCCAGTGAGTTGATCAGCTGCTGTGTATGTGAGAGTCCTCTGAGGGTTTCCTGTGATGCTATTCAGCTGCTCCTTTAGGCCATCAGGTCCCACCCCGATCAGGAAGATCTCTCTGTCTCGTGCATATTTAGAGGCCTTGACCACATCGTCAGCAGCAGGAGTGGCAGTGAGCAGCACCACCACACGAGGAAGGTCATCTGATACGTCAGCGAACACGGGCTGGCTGACAAACCCGTTACGTGTAACATATTGAAGTGCGTGGCCCGTCAGGGTCTGGCCACCAGGTGGTTTAAGTGCATCCAGAGCCTTAAGGAAACCCTTCAGATTCCCGTTGAACTTTCCAACCTGGGCCTCCACTCGGGTCTCTCCACCAAACACTGCCAGGCCCACTTTACTGGGGCTGTCAGAGCCAATCACAGTCTGCAAGAAGCGTTTTAAGAAGGATTTAAGGCGTAGGAAGTCTTCTAAAGTCAGCGAGGCAGAGCCCTCAAGCAGGAAGAGCAAATCCACAGAGCAGTCCAGAGATAACGCAGGAGCTGAGGGAGGATTAAGGGTTTTAGTATATAATTACTGTATGTCTGATGTCCTTTTTACATGCAGAGGGTGAGTACTGACCACAGTGAGGGTCTCCTCCATATCCAGGTGGACACACACAGCGGTACCCCTCTGAGCCTTCTGACACACACGTCCCTCCATTCAGACAGGGCTGAGAGTCGCAGGGTTCTGACAACAGGATGGAAGTCGAGATCATGAAAGAGGGAACAATGTCAGAGAATTAAAGAGATGGGAAGGGGGCTATCACCTGTACAAATGGTTCTGTGGCAGACTGACAGGTGGCTCCTGTAGACCTTGCTGTACCTGAAAAACACAGGTTAGTTTAGAGGGATAGAACTAAAACAGATTTTCTGTCTTTTTCTTTGTGAGAACATGTTCGCAAAGTGTTTCAAAGTAGCTGTTCTCCATGTGTCTGGAAGCTGCTCTCCAAAACTACAACTCTACTAAGTTTTAAAACATAAGGAGCTGACGTTGACTCGTTGGTGCAGCTGTTCTCTAACTTGAGCTCTACAAGCCTCGGGACCCTTTTGGGGGGAGGACAAAGATGCAGCAGAGTGTGAAATGAGTTTAGCTAAAGCCAATTAAATGTGCCCCAGGAGGGAGCGGCTCGGTTTTTATTAAAACATCACAACAGCATATTAACAGCTGGGCACTGATCTGCTCATAGTAAGACTATACATAATGTGTTTCCTTTAATTTGAAGGTGGGTGCACCAACCCACCCACCAGGCTTTTAACCAACTCTCCAAATACCGCCGACCCAACTGGGAATGACCACAGGACAGCAGTGGGAGTGGATCCACTGGGTTTAGAAAAAAGTAATGAAGGCACAATGGAGTATACCAGAAGATTTTGTAGATGAAACACCATTCATTGGCTCCATTTTCATCATTTTGTTTCCCAAAGTTGGGTAGCAGAAATGACAGATTCAGGATATAACAATGGTAATCATCTCCCCAGCAAATGTCCAGCTCCTCCTGAGGAATACAGGGTGTTCCCAGGCCAGAGAGGATGTATAATCCCTCTGGAGAGGTCTAGGTCTGTCCTACCTCCAGAGGAATAAAACCAAGAAATCATCCTAAAAAAATATGCCTGAACCATCTAGACTGATTCCAGTTGATAAGGAGGAGCAGCAGATCTAATCAAAGATTTTCCCAGATTTTGGAAATATGTGGAGTTCCCACCATCTCATACAGCACTCTACTGCTCTCTCTGTTTGCCGCTGTTGTTGACATCACCACATCTTATGTATTTCCTGGTGTCCATCCCCCCCTCACTGGGTTGGTACTAACTGGGGTTGTCACAGTGTGAAAATTTAACCTCGTTATTATTGTGACCGAAATTATCACGGTTTTAAGTATTATTGCGGTATTTCTTTTAAATAAGTCAAATTTTCGAGCAACTTCAACAGATGCAATGGTGGCTGGTAAGGGTCATCGCGCCTACACCGTGGCCACGGTAATCCACCGAGATAATATCCATCCATCCATTTTTGGCCACTTAGGTCGAAGGGGCAGTAGCCTACGCCGGGACGCCCAGTGTCATGTGCCGGGATGAGTGCTCCTCTCCTTTTTGTTCCATCTTTGAGCTGCTGTGTTTCAGAAGACGGAGGCTCCAGATGCAGCTCATTAACAATTAGCGGGTCAAGATATAAGAGGAGGAGGAGAACACACACCGGATGATTAACTACAACTTGGTAGTTCCAGCCTTTTGTGTCTCCAGGTTAACTCTAGTGATTTTTGGATTTAGAACCCTTGTGGATATTCTTGTGCTTACCTGTTCCCAGGATTTTTGGATTGTTTGTGGACCTTACCTTGACTCCTCAAGACCTCCTTGGACTTCTGAAGTTTCTGGAGCTTCTCTGGTTTTCCTGTGGCTCCTCTGATTGACTACTTGGACATTTCCACAATCCCGCTGGATTACTCACCTGTGCCCCCATAAAACTCCTGGACGCAGCATTCACCGTTCTCCTCCCTGCCAGCCTGCTCTCCTCGCGCCCCCTCTCCTGGACACCCCCTCTTGGATTCACCCCGGCACTCCACCTACCCTCCCCAATTCCTCAGCCCCCAGCTTCCCGTAAGTCTTTACTCTGCACCTTCCTAGTTTAGAATTACCTCCCTGGACTCACCTGTTCCTCTGCTCTCCCCTCCTCAGATGCTGCGGTTCCGATGCAATCCCCACTGGACCTTATCCAGTGCACCCTCAGTTCCCGATTTTTAAAATAAAATTCTTCAGTTTTTCTAATTGATTTGTGAGTGGTGAATTCTGCATGTCTTAGGTTAAACTCGTCCCAAAACATGTCAGAATCATCCGGCCAAGCTGCTAATCCCGCAGATTCATCTCTTGCCGATCTACTCAACAGGTTATCTCAGCAGGAGCAAGTCCTGCCACTGCTTATGGAACAGCTTCAAGCTGCTAACAACCGTTTCCAACAGTTGGAGGCCATGGTACGACAGGTACAACTCAGACTGTCCCAACCGCAGCCCCAGGCCCACTCTGTGGAGCCTCCGCTCGCTGCCCCCGTTCCTCCTGCAGTGCCCGGGCCGGCAGCAGCAGCCACCCCGGTAGTCGCCTATTTCCATCCAGCCTCCTCAACGCCATCACCACATTCAGTGGTGAGTTTGAGGACTGTTACAGTTTTCTGCTACAATGTCTGCTCGCTTTCGAGCGCTCACCAGGAGCCTTTTCTTCGGACTCAGTCAAGATCTCATACATAGTAGGATTACTTCGTGGGAGAGCCCTAAGATGGGCTGAGGCAAAGAGTCACTGTGCTACTTTTCTGTCGGGACCTCTAGAGGACTTTTTGACTGATTTTAAATTAACCTTTGGCAGTACTGAGTCTGTTAAGGACATCAGTAAGACTGTGGAGTTTATCACAGGGGCGGAGATCGGTTGCTGACAAGTCTGTGGAGTTTAGAATCCTGGCGGCTCAGTCATCCTGGAATGAGGAAGCCCTCCTCGCTGCCTTCACGGAGTCCCTCAACGACCGAGTTCGGAACCAGCTGGCACTGTGCCCAGAACCCCAGTCGCTGGAGGAACTCCTCCGCCTGGCCATTTCTATTGATAAACGCCAGCATGAACTGCGGCACCAGAACTCCAGAACCAGAACCTTCCCCACACTGGACCGTCACCATGGGTCGGGCACATGGCCCTACATGGAGCCCACCACCATGGAGGAACCCATGCAGATGGGAAGGACACGCCTCAGCCGGGAGGAGAGGTCACATCGGATCAGGTCAGGTCTGTGTTTACATTGTGGGGAGCCAGGACACTTTGCTAGAGCCTGTCCGACTCTGTTAAAAGGCAGAGTCCACCAGTAAAGACGGGACTACTGGTGGGCAGTAACTCTTCTTCTGCAAGCTCCCGCTGTGTACTTCAGTGTGTTGTGTTTTTTAACTCTGAGCAGTTTCCTATAGAAGCACTTGTTGACTCTGGTTGTGAGCAGTCCTTGTTGGACCCAGACTTAGTAAAGAGATGGAAGATCCCAACCATTCGGCTCCCTACTCCGCTCTCTGTGTCTTCCTTGGATGACCGGAACCTGTCAACCATTACTCACCAGACCATCCCGTTGTAGTTACGAGTGTCAGGTAACAACACAGAGGCTTTGGCTTTTTATGTGCTTCCCTCTCCTCAGTCACCTCTGGTCCTGGGACATTCCTGGCTCTCTCTCCAGAACCCCCACGTGAACTGGGAGACAAACAGAGTTGAGGAATGGAGCTCATGATGCTCACAGACCTGCCTCCGCTCAGCCTCACCCATTCTCCGCAGCCCCGCCGCTCCTCCAGCAGAAAGAATAGACCTGTCCTCTTTGACACTGGTCAACCACGACCTCAGCCTAGTCTTCAGCAAGGATCGGGCATCATCTCTCCCCCCACGCAGGCCATTCGATTGTAGCATAGATCTACTGCCGGGGGCTCCTCTTCACTCCAGCCACCTTTACCACCTCTCTAAACCAGAGAGAGAGGGAGAGCATGGAGAGCTACATACAGGAGTCTCTGGCCGCCGGCCTCATCAGACCGTCCTCATCACCCCTAGGAGCGGGTTTCTTCTTCGTTCTGAAGAAGGAAGGAACACTCAGGCCCTGTATTGACTACAGGGGTCTGAACCAGATTACCGTTAAGAACAAATACCCGCTGCCTCTACTAACATCTACTTTTGAGCCCATTCAGGATGCCAGCATCTTCAGTCGACTGGATCTCCGGAACGCTTACCATCTGGTTCGAATTCGTCAGGGAGATGAATGGAAGACCGCGTTTAAGACTCCTATCTGACATTTTGAGTACTTGGTGATGCCTTTTGGTTTAACTAATGCACCAGCCGTGTTCCAGTCCTTAGTGAACTCTGTTTTAGGAGACTTTCTAAATAAGTTTGTGACTGTTTATTTAGATGATATTTTGATTTTTTTCTAACTCCTTAGAGCAACATGTAAGACACATTAGGGCCATGTTACAGTGCCTCCTGGAGAACCGCTTATATGTAAAGGCAAAGAAATGTGTGCTCCACGTCCCCAAGGTAAAGTTCCTTAGTTTAGTTTTCCTTAGCGGGAGGCTAAGGGCAGACCCTGAGAAGGTCATTGCAGTCACTGAGTGGCCCATTCCAACTTCTCGGAATCAGTTACAAAGGTTCCTGGGCTTCACAAACTTTTACAGGAGGTTTATAAGGAACTACAGCCAGACTGCCTCCCCGCTGACCAACCTGACCTCTGTTAATTGCCCTTTTGTTTGGTCCTCAGAAGCTGAGGCTGCCTTCCAGACCTTAAAGAGGAGGTTCACTAACGCCCCTTTGCTCCACAGACCTGATTTGCAACGCCAGTTCACCCTTGAAGTAGACGCCTCCGACACAGGCGTCTGCACTGTACTCTCTCAGGTATCTCCCACGGGTAATAAACTTCATCCCTGTGCCTTTTTCTCTCAACATTTAACTCCCGCAGAGAGCAGAAATGACGAGGGTGACCGAGAGCTGCTGGCTGTAAAGCTCGCTATTGAGGAGTGGAGACACTGCCCTGGAGGGGGCAGAAACACCTTTCGTCATCTGGACTGACCACAAGAATGTGGTTTACCTGAGAGAAGCTAAGAGGATTAATCTACGACAGTACGGTAGTCTCTCTTCTTCTCACGTTTCAATTTCCAGATTTCTTACCACCCTGGGTCTAAAAACACAAGACCAGACGCCCTCTCCAGGTTGTACGCTCCGGATCAGGAGGTTGAGCACTCCACCATTCTCCCCCCAGCATGTATGGTGGGAGGAGTCATGTGGGAGATCCGGGATCAGGTGCTGGAGGCTCTTAAAACTGACCCAGGTCCAGGTAAGGGTCTGCCTGGCCGGCTTTATGTGCCACAAGGCTTAAGGGGCAAGGTCATCCATTGGGCACACACCGGCAGGTTTTCCCTGCACCCAGGTGCAGGCTGCACTATTGCCCTATTGAAACGGACTCTCTGGTGGCCTGCTATGTACAAGGACATGAAGGACTACATCTCGGCGTGCCACGTATGTGCCCAACAGAAGGAAGACCATTGGTCTCCGGCAGGCTTATTAAACCCCCTTCCTACTCCCTCACGTCCCTGCTCACACATAGCCTTAGATTTCGTCTGTGGGTTGCCTGATTCGCATGGTTTTTCCACCATCCTCACCATAGTGGACAGGTTTTCTAAGGCTTGCCACCTCGTACCCCTAAAGTCTCTCCCTTCCTCCTCTGTTACCGCTAAACTCCTCGTTAAGCATGTGTTCAGGTTGCACGGGATTCCAGAGGAGATTCTCTCGGATCGGGGACCTCAATTCATCTCCAGATTATGGAAGGAGTTCGCTGAAGCTCTGGGGACTAAGGTCTCCCTCACTTCTGGAAATCACCCACAGATGAATGGAAAATGTGAGCGCATGAATCAAGAGCTCGGGGCCATGCTGCGCTGCATCTGCTCCGCAAAACCGTCATCCTGGAGCTCTCACCTCGCCTGGGTGGAGTACAGCCACAACTGCCATGTTTCTACCGCTACAGGTCAGTCACCATTTGAAGCCTCTCTAGGTTACCAGCCATCCCTGTTTCCCCAGCAGTCCTCAGCTCCATCGTCGGTCTCTCAGTTTCTCCGGGGGGCCAGACGGGCATGGGCATCCACCCAGGCCGCTCTGGACAGGACGGCTGATGTCGCTCCTATTTACTGGCTTCAGCCCTTTAAACACCTTTGGAGCTTTTTGCTAGCAGATGCAAAAGTACAGACGCTGGCACTGCAGTATTAGTTTGGTGCAGACTCAGGAACCTCACAGGCTCACAGATTGTAAAAAATTAGCTACGTCCCTCTTTGGCTTTTATGAAAGGAGACTGATGGCACCCCCAGCCAGCTGAGAATGAAATCTGTTTCAATGTAACCTCCCTTCTACCATGATTGAGACATTAGACTGTTTTGTTATTTTACTCTAGATCTCTCAAAAAGGAGCAATGTCCTTTAAGGTGGTCTGTGCTAATGTTTGTGGCTGTCGTCGTTGTCTTCGTCCACTTGTCCAGGTCCGGGTCGTGGGGGCGGCATCCCAACTGGGGAGCTCCAGACCATCCTCTCCCCGGCCACCTCCACCAGCTCCTCCAGCAGGACCCCAAGGCGTTCCCGGACCAGGTTGGAGATGTACCCTCTCCAACGTGTCCTGGGGCGACCCAGGGGCCTCCTGCCGGCAGGACATGCCCGAAACACCTCCCCAGGGAGGCGTCCAGGAGGCATCCTGACCAGATGCCCAAACCACCTCAACTGACTCCTTTCGATCCAGAGGAGCAGCGGTTCTACTCCGAGTCCCTCCCGAATGTCTGAGCTCCTCTAAGGCTATCTAAGGCTACCCTATCTCTAAGGCTGATCCCGGCCACCCTACGGAGGAAACTCATTTTGGCCACTTGTATCCGCAACCTCGTTCTTTTGGTCATTACCAAAAGCTCATGACCATAGGTGAGGATTGGGACGTAGGTCGACCGGTAAATTGAGAGCCTGGCTTTCTGGCTCAGCTCCCTCTTCACCACGACAAATCGGCTCAGCGTCCACATCACTGCAGACGCTGAACCAATCTGCCTGTCGATCTCCTGATCCCTCCTACCCTCACTCGTGAACAAGACCCTGAGATACTTAAACTCCTCCACTTGAGGTAGGACCTCTCTCCAGACCCGGAGTTGGCAAGCCATCCTTTTCCGGTCGAGAAACATGGTCTCAGATTTGGAGGTGCTGATCCTCATCCCAGCCGCTTCACACTCGGCCGCGAACCTACCCCGCAAGAGCTGAAGATCAGAGCTGGATGAAGCGAGGAGGACCACACCATCCACAAAAAGCAGAGACGAGATTCTCCTGCCACCAAACTTGACACACTCCACACCACGGCTGTGCCTTGAAATTCTGTCCATAAAGGTAATGAACAGAGCCGGTGACAAAGGGCAGCCCTGGCGGAGTCCAACCCTCACCGGGAACAGGTCCGACTTACTACGGCTATGCGGACCAAACTCACGCTCCTCTGGTAAAGGGACTGAATGGCCCTTAACAGAAAGCCACCCACCCCATACTCCTGGAGCGTCCCCCACAGGGTGCCCCTGGGGACACGGTCATAAACCATCTCAAAATCAACAAAACACATGTGGATTGGTTGGGCAAACTCCCATGCCCCCTCCATCACCCTTGCAAGGGTATAGAGCTGGTCCACAGTTCTACGGCCAGGACGAAAACCACATTGCTCCTCCTCAATCTGAGATTCAACTATCGATCAGACCCTCCTCTCCAGTACCTTGGAGTACACCTTTCCAGGGAGGCTGAGGAGTGTGATCCCCCTAAAGTTGGAACACACCTTCAGGTCACCTTTCATAAAGATGGGGACCACCACCCCGGTCTGCCACTCCACAGAAACTGCCCCCGATGACCACACAATGCTGCAGAGACGTGTCAACCATGACAGCCCTACAACATCCATAGCCTTGAGATACCCAGGACAAATCTCATCCGCCCCCGGGGCTCCGCCGCGGTGTAGTTGTTTGACTACCTCAGCAACTTCCACCCCCGAGATCGGACAGTCCATCCCCAGGTCTCCCGGCTCTGGTTCCTCCTCGGAATGCGCGTAGGTGGGATTGAGGAGCTCCTCAAAGTATTCCTTCCACCGTCCAACTATAGCCCCAGTTGACATCAGCAGCTCCCCATCCCCACTGTAAACAGAATGAGTGAGTTGCTGCTTCCTCTCCCGAGGCGCCGGACAGTTTGCCAGAACCTCTTTGGATCCGATTGATAGTCTTTCTCCATGGCCTCACCAAACTCCTCCCATGCCCAAGATTTTGCCTCGGCAACTGCCACTGCTGCACCCTGCTTGGCTATCCGGTACCTGTCTGCTGTCTCCAGAGACCCACAGACCAGCCACACCCTGTAGGCCTCCTTCTTCAGCCTGACGGCTCCCCGAACCTCTTGTGTCCACCAGCGGGTACGGGGGTTGCCACCACGACTGGCACCGGTCACCTTGCGACCACAGCTAGCAACAGCCGCCTCAACAATCACAGAGTGGAACAAGGCCCACTTGGACTCAATGTCCCGCACTGCTCTCGGGAAGCGGTCAAAGCTCTGCCGGAGGTGGGAGTTGAAGACTGTCTTAACAGGTTTTTCTGCCAGGTGTTCCCAGCAGACCCTGACTATGCGTTTAGGTCTGACAGGTCTATGCTGCATCTTCCCCTGCCATCTGATCTAACTCACCACCAGGTGGTGATCAGTTGACAGCTCCGCTCCTCTCTTCACTCAGGTGTCCAAAACATATGGCCGCAGGTCAGATGATATGACTATAAAATGTATCATCGACCTGCAACCTAGGCTACCTGGTACCAAGTGTACCGATGGGCATCCTTATGTTCGAACATGGTGTTCGTTATGGCCAAACTGCGGCTTGCACAGAAGTCCAATAACGAAACACCACTCGAGTTCAGATCAGGCGGGCCATTCCTCCCAATCACTGCCCTCCAGGTCATGCTGTCATTGCTCACGTGAGCATAGAAGTCCCCCAGCAGGACAATGGAGTCCCCTGATGGAGCACTATCTAGCACTCGTCCCAGGAACTCCAAAAAGGGTGGGTACTCTGAACTGATACTTGGCCCATAAGCACAAACAACAGTCAGGAACCGTTACCTGACCCGAAGGCTCAAGGAAGCTACCCCCTCGTCCCCCGGGGTAAACCCCAACACACAGGCAGAGAGTCTTGGGGCTAACAAAAAGCCAACCCCAGCCCTCCGCCTCACCCGGAGCAACTCCAGCAAAGGAGAGTGTCCAACCCCTCTCAAGGACTTGGGTTCCAGAGCCAATGCTAAGTGTCGAGGTGAGTCCGACCATATCTAGCCGGTACCGCTCAACCTCTGCCACAAGCTCTTGCTCCTTCCCAACCAGCGAGGTGATGTTCCATGTCCCAAAAACCAGTTTCCTTGTCCAGGGATCGGACCGCCAAGGCTCCCGCCTTGATCTGCCACCCGATCCACACTGCACCGGACCCTTCATGTTCCTCCTGCAGCTGGTGGGTCCACAGTTGGATGAGCCCATGTATCCGGTTCGGGCTGGGCCCGGCCGGGCCCCATGGGCGAAAGCCCGGCCACCAGGTGCTCGTTCACGGGCCCCAACCCCAGGCCTGGCTCCAGGGTGGGACCCCGGAAACCCTCCGGGCCGGGTACTCCGACTCTTTGATTGTACATCCATGAAAGATCCTCTGAACCGTTCTTTGTCTCACCCTTCACCTAAGACCAATTTGTCATGGGAGACCCTACCAGGGGCACAAAGTGCCCCAGACAACATAGCTCCTAGGATCAATGCACTCAAACTCCTCCACCACGATAAGGTGACGGTTCAAGGAGGAGTGTTTGTGGCTGATAGATTTTAATTACTATTTGGATCTTAAAGGTTCATTTTTCTGTGTTCAATAAAAAAATATTCACACAAATTCCAATTGAAAATGAAAGAACACCAAATTATTTTGTCAAGTGCATAATTATCACGTGTAGAAACAAACTTCCGCATTTATCAGTGAACACTTTTTTTGTCCGGAAGGAGCTTCACACTTGCCTGTAGTAGGGACATAGATAAGTGTATGGGGAATACCCCTTGGAGCCTTTCCAGCACATGAAATTCCCCTGTAGCTCCTTCACAGTCTCTAGAGTTTTTCTCTCACATGGGAACGACTCCACCTGACAACCTGCGGGACGGGACAGGAGGAAAGGAAAGTTTAAATAGTTGGAATGGGAGGTGTTCCTAGCTAGATTCAGTCAAGACTCCAACCTGCAGGAGCTGCACTGCAGACAGAGAAAGTGCTCAGAGTGGTGTACAAGCCATTGATGGCATCGTGAAAATCCTCAGCAAAGAAGACATGGCTCTCCACTGGCTCACTGGCAACAGCATGTAGCTCCTCCCACCTACAGAAAAACAGGGGTTTAAACATATTTTCACTTTACTGAATAATTACAGGCAACTCATGTTTTCTTACTTACTTTGGGTACCGTAAACCAATAGCAAACAAGACCACGCCTGTCTCTTTTAGCTGTGCTGCCGCCTGGACCACGTTGCCCTGAGACCTCCCATCTGACAGCAGGATGACGATGTGGGGGACAGAGGAGTTACGGCCACCCAGAAAACCCTTCCTCAGGATGTATTTTAGAGCCAGGCCTGTCTGTGTGCTGCCTCCTCTGCATTTGGAGAAATATTTCATAACATAGTAGAACCATGAGGATTTAAAAAATACATTAGACAAAAAAACTAAATAACTACTAAATATAAACAATTCAATAGGGCAAAAGTTATTATATATATATATATATACATATATATATATATATATATATATATATATATATATATATATATATATATATATGTATATTTGGACCATTACAATGTCTAAATGTTAAATTCAACTGATAATGATACAGATGAATATTTAGAATTAAATACAAATGTAGCTTAATGTTAAAATCAAAATATAAAAGTGGCAAATTTAAACTAAATGTTTAGCTAACATACAAATAAAAAAGATGGAAGTATAGCTTGTAGGTCTTGGAGTCTCTTTGATGGTAAGATTGTGCAAGTCTATTCAACCAATATGTGATTCTAATAATTTGAATTTAATTTGAAATTTTTTCTTTTCAAAACAAAAGCATTCAAAGTTTGTGTGCAAGATGAAAGGAAACACACCGGTAGGAAATCCTTTTTATTTGTTTCTTCAGCTCCTGCCTGGTGGAGTACGAGTTCAGCGAAAACTCAAGTTGAGGGCCCGAGCCAAACTGAATCAAACCAACTCGCACCTGCTCAAAATCAGAATTATACCACATTTAATTCAAATTCAAATTCAAATTCAAAAAAACTTTAATCATCCCCGAGGGGCAATTGTTTCAGTACAGAAGAATTGGTACTGTGGTCATTCGCAACAAGAGTTGCGCTACCGTTAATTAGATGAAAAGGGGATCACATGAGGATAAATTGGGGGAGGGATAAAAAAGGCATACCAGAGTTACTCCCGGCAGGGCGTAGCTTTACTATGCAAAAAAAAAAAAAAAAACATACGCCTCAAACATATAAGCACGAGCATCGACAATTCACAACACGAGACACCGAGAGGAAGGCGTGGGGGTGGGGGGGGGGGGGGGGGGTGGCTGGGATCCTGTTTCCCCAGCAAGAGCAGCCCTATGGCGCTCAGCCACTGTAGGCACAGGTGGGAAGGAGATCTTGGGAGGAGCGCAGAGCACATTGACACCTGCAGGTTGATGACCTTGCCAGGCTGAAATCCACCAATCTGAAGGCGGGGGGTAGGTCGGGTTTTCACAGCATTTGTCTGCATTCCTTCGTGGGGGTTTGTTGTTGGCATTCACAAGGCTGCCATGGCGTCAGATTCGGATAACAAGACTTTGTTTGGGTCAGGCAGAGATAATTTTCCTCTCTGCCTTGAAGTCTGTAACTGATCATTCAAATCCTCCATTGAAGCCAATTCAGGTTTTAAACATCTCCACACCGTCCAGTGACCCTCTCCGAGATAACATCCATTTTGCGCACTAATACCGGTATCGCAGCTAGAACATTGTCCAGCTTACGATTCACCTCGAGTAATGTCCCAGTCTGTGAGGTGTCCACACGGACGGTGCTTTCCGTGGGTGTGGGTCGCCCTCCAATCGCTCCCGTCTTCCCAAATTTCCAGAAAACCAAATATCCTCCCACTCCACACACACACGCACACACACACACACACCACACACCACACACCACACACACACACACACACATACACATTATACAAAAAGGAAATAGTGGTTGAACCAATAATGGGGTAAACATTTCTGATTGTAAACAACTACCTCTGCATAGAAATTGCACACACCTGCTGCTATATGTTTTGTATATTATTAGCGATATTTACCTGTTTAATATTATCTTATTGTTAGGGATGTTTTTTGTTTTGTTATTGTTGTGCATCTGCACTTTATGTAAATGTCTACGCATGGGACAGTGTGAAACGTAATTTCAATTCCTTGTATGGCAAGCACATTCGAAGAATTGACAAATAAAGTATTCTATTCTATTCTATTCTATTCTCAAATCAGAAGAAATCCAGTGATCATCAGGCCAAATATCCACACATCTTCGACATCCTCAATGGACAACTGAGAGAGGCATACGATCTTCCACTCCCTCCAGGGATCGAGCATATATCCCGCTGCGTGTGTCCCTTGCGGGCAAGTGGGAACCCCCTCTTCCATTCTCATCGTAGAAAAAATCTTGTCAATTGCGTTGAATGACCAATTAATTAAATCCATTCTAAAAAATAGGGTTTTTCAGAAGAAATGCAGAGAAGCGCTCTGTGGGAAGACAGGACAAAGAGCCTTGGGAAAAAAAGATAAGGGAGCAAAAGCAGAAGCGTCTGTACTCTGCGAGTGCCGGCAGTGGGGGACAAGAAGTTTAATAGATGGGAAGCTGAAAAAGACATGACAAATGTTACAGAAAACACACCTTGTCGGGACCAACGTCTAGTGCTTGGCACAGCTGGACTGCGTAATGTTTGGACCTCTCAAAGCTGCCTTTCCCCACACTGTAGGAGCCATCCATGAGAAAGAGGATGTCCATGGCTGCTGAGCATTGCATCGCTTCAAATGGAAACACACACACACACACACACACACACACACACACACACACACACACACACACACACACACACACACACACACACACACACACACACACACACACACACACACTTTAGTTATCACTGTCTCCACACTTCTATTTGTCCATTTCTACCAATTTAAAGCTCTCTATAAGGCTACAAAAACCTATATCATATAAAGAAAGGGTCAACAAATCTGGGATTTTCACGAAAGTAATTAAAAAGTTTAATAACAAAAAAGGCAGCTGAGTTGGGTTCCAGACATCTTTGATGAGTGGGCGTGACACAAGGGACTTTCCCAAACCTTTTTGCAAATGCTGTTTGTTAGTCAAGCCAGGCTCAGGACTTGTGTGATGTAAGGGCACAGTTCACATAGAGGAATTTAAAAGTTGTTGGACGATTTTCCAAACATGAGACCACACACGTGGACATATCGCGGCAATGGCGCAATAAGTGGAAATAGCAGAATAAGGAGAGGGTGGTGCTGAAGATCACACCAAAACCAGCCTGAACAGGTGAGTTTTCAGCTGCTATTAAAGGAGACCACTGAGTCCGCTGATCTCAGGCTCAGGGGGTGAGAGGTCCAGAGTCTGGGGGCCACAGCAGCAAATGATCTAACACCTTTGGTCTTTAGGCTGGTGCTGAACAAACAGTAGGCTTTGGTCACGGGACCTCAGGGACCTGCTGGGGGTGTAGGGACTGAAAAGATCACCAATGTAAGATGGTGCTTGTCCATGTAAGGCCCTATAGACCAGAACCAGGACCTTGAAATGATCCCTGAAGTTGCCTGACAGCCAATGAAGCTGGAGGAGAAGCGGGGTGATGTGGGTGTGTTTGGAGGGCTTGGTCAGAAACCGAGCACAGGCATTCTGAACCACCTGTAGACGGTTCAGGGAGGTTCTGCTCAGACACATGAAGAGAGAGTTGCAGTAGTCTAAGCGTGAGGAGATGAAGGTGTGGAGAACTGTCTCAAGTTCAGAACGGGACAGAATTAGACTCAGCAGTGTTCCTGAGATGGAAGAAGGAAGAGCGAACAAGAGAACTGATGAGAATCCAGGGTGAGAGCTGGGTCAAAGGTCACACCAAGATTCCTGACAGAGGGTTTGGTGTGAGAAGCAAGCTGACCAAGAGAATCTCTGACTTTGGGAACCAGCTTTTCTGGGGCACAGATGAGGATCTCAGTCTTATCTTCATTCAGCTGTAGAAAGCTCCCAGTTATCCAGGTTTTAATAGAGTCTACGCAGGTGTGTATCAGCTGCAGCTTAGACATCTCATGGAGATTAAAGGAGATGTCATCTGCATAAAAATGGTAGCAGATTCCTTTAAAGGAGCTCAGGATGTGCTGAAGACTCACAGACATTCTTACAAGAAATCTCGTAAAGATCTCTCGAGATCAAACAAAACAAAAAATACTCTATATGTCAAATATGATGAGGATTTGGAATTCCCTCACCTCGTATACCTCACTTTGTCACCTCAATCAATCAATCAATCAATCAATCAATCAATCAATCAAAGCTTTATTTATAAAGCGCCTTCCGCAACCCTGTCAGGAAGCCCAAAGCCCAAACCCCTCGCTCTCGGATTGGCTAAATGTCACAATCAACAGGCAGTTTTGGTCCTTTGTCCAAGAAATCATGGCAAGTTAATATAACATTTTCAATATCCCAAATTTGTTACTGGAGCCTTCTTGATGTTCCAAGGCCAGGTCAGAGTGCTCTTAACACCACACATGGCAGGAATATCTGATGAGATTATCTTTAGAATCATTACAGTGACTGGGGCACTCTCTTTTAATTAGATAATTTCTTCAAAGAAACAATTGAATGAAATATTTCACTACATATTTATACAATCACTGAATAAGACACTCACTTTCTGCTGCTGTGTTGATCTTCATGATGTTGTCATGGCTGGTTTTGATCTCTTGCACTGGTTTACCCTGCTGAACTAGGAGCCACAAGAGGTAAAGGATCAGACCTCAACATTTCCTTGCTGTTTGTCCAAAAAAGTGTTAACTCCATCTCAATATGAAGGTTTTATTATGAAGTGGTTGCTTACTCTGTCCATGACCCACATGAGTTTGAGCTCTAGGCCTTTTTTTTTTTGAGAAATCTGCTCAACAATGACATGCCCACACGTTATGGAGTATATTTCTCTAACCACAAAGTCTATTTGATTAAATTTGGTCTCATTTCAAAGGGAACTGTTGTGGGATTTGTTGAGTTTGTTAATATTAGTAAATGTGTCACTGATGAAGTGTCAGTGGACATGGAACATTGTAAAAAAAAAAAGTAGATTTTTTTCTTTTCCGCTTGAAAAAATGTTTATATCAGGACGGATGCCTCATTAGAGAAAGGTATCAGTAGCTTTAAACCAATTCATAGTCTTACATCTTGACATTAGCTATACTAACAATCTGACAGAGATTATAAGAGAATTGGCAAAGAAAAATTGAGGCTTGAACTGAAATCTCATTTTCCGGTTGCTAATCTCTTTTATTCTTAGAATTTATAAATTACTGTTAAAAGAAAAAAAAACATCTTTGTAACACTTCAGATTTCTTTAAAATTGAACTTGTGTGTATTTAAGTCATTATAGCTGCATGCAGAAACACACACACTGAAATATAGACAACACACAAATGCATCCATCACTATAATCCTAGTAAAGATAAAAAATAATCTAGTAAATCAGATACTTTTCACTGAGCCAGCACAGATTTACACTCGGCCCCTTTCCTGCAAACCCTAATTGACTAATTCAGGCTAATGTGAACAGACAAGTGAAGAAAACCCTTCTGCTGTTCCATTCACTGACGGGACATTCCTCTGCTCAGATACATGCACACCAGGGATAGGAGAAGGGGGGGGGGGGGGGGGGGGGTGTTATGTGATTTACTGCCAACATGCCTCGTCACCCCCGGCAACCACAACAGATCACAGAGACACGAACATGAATGTGCATTTCAGCACTGGTCAGAAAGCATCTTCTGCAAAACTAGAAGCTGCTGGAAACATTTTTGGAACGTTCAAAACAGCAAATAAACTTACAGAAATACAGAAAACTTTAAAAGTCTTTAAAACTTTAAAATGAAGTCAAATCTACTGCTTTCTCAATGATGCAAGTACATTTATGTACGCAAACATGTAAAACTACATTAAGACACAACTTAGTCATTTTACAGACTTTACATAAACAGGAAACAACCGTCACTAGAACTCATTTAACCCTAGAAACACTAAATATATTACATTTGATTCAAGAGCTCCATCTCTTCTACAGGATCGACTCCTGTCCCCCACTAGAGGATGTAAATACAAGTATGTTCTAATCAAATGTACTCAGTCTAACTAGTGGCAACTGGAATAAAACAAATACATTATTATATGTTATAGTAATGTATATTTAAATATTTAAAAATTATATGTACATACATAATCTTAGAATTTGTGTTATTTTATGCTGGGATGTGAAGTGCTGACTTGACAGAAATGACTTATGATTAGTCAGAAATTAGAGATTAAACTCTTCAGCTTTCAGCAAGATGCAAAATGCATCGCTGGAGAGGAACAAAACAGACATTTTAATGCAAGCACAGAAAAAATAACATCTGTGTCAGTTTAATGTGGTTTAGATGCTAGAATTAAAAGTTGCTTTTTCTTCTCTGTATGTGTCGCAGGCTGGGTTTTATAGGCAGAGAAGGGTAAAAATGAATGAATATTTACAAGTAGGCCTACTTTAAAAGTCCCTAACATCCTAACTCTAAAGAATAGAGAACAGTACAAGACTAAATCCTAAAATAAAAGAAAGCAGAGGAATCCCACCACTGGCGATTAAAGAGAAACCAAATGATGACAGAAGATCTCCACCTGCAAACCAGAAGCCATGTTGTCTGACCTTTTCACGTTCCTGACCCTTTCATCTGCCCCCGATTTCAGCAAGATTCCCGCCTCAAAGCTCTCCTGGAAGTGAAAGTTTAGGGCCGTGTTCTGGTCAGCGGGGCCCCGGAGCTCAGAGAAGCCAACCGTGCAGCCAAGCCCCTCCAGTAAAGTAAAAGTCTGTCTTTAATGTGAGCATAATTACAGAGGGAAACCAGGAGTGAGATAATGAGCAGAAATCCTCCTGCTGTGGGACTGATGTCCATTTGGCCATTCTCACATCACAGACAGAGGGATTTATGGAGAGCTCTAAACAAGCCAGCAACAACTACTATTATGCTTGTTGTTAGAACTCAATTTGACAGAATTAACACCTCAACAAGTTACCCATGCTGACAGCTGGAGGAGAGAGCAGGAGCCTCCTGATGAGGTGAAACTGTCTTGTGTGGTTCAGTTACAAAGTCTTAAAATGGTCCACAATAAATGCTCGACACAGTGATAAAGCTGCCCTTTTGGAATACAACTTAAATATTATATTCCTGCACAACTCCCTCAGACAAATACCAACACTTTAGTTCAAGATGAAGATGGAAGACGGCCCACAAAACAAGAAAAATAAACATTTTCAGCAGAAGAAAACTGAGAATCGCTTTAAATGATAAATGGCCTGTATTTGTATATCGCATTAGAGTTCCACAGCCCCCCAAGACACTTTACAACACAATCATGCATCCACCCATTCACACACACGTTCACGCTCTGGTGATGATGAGCTACAACGTAGCCACAGCTGCCCTGGGGCTCATTGACGAAGGTGAGGCTGCTGAATACTCCCGACCACCACCAGCAGGCGTGAGGGGGTGCTGAATCACATATCGGGGGTTTCCTTTTGCACAAACACACGCACGTTAAACCGATGCCATGCAAAAAAAACAGACAAAAACAAGATCTTCTCTATGCCAGAGTAAACGGAAGAAAAAGCAGAACATCTTGTGAAACCGACACTTTTACTTCTGTGGAGAAACCAACAGAAATAAGGACCACCCGCTGTGGTCTCCACACATCTATTATAGCACGTCTTATGTTTTTGTGTTTAGTCCCATTATGATCCTGCTTTCATTTCTTTTTCTTTTCACAAAAAGCAACAAAAAAGAACTATAAATGAAAACCATCCTTTTAAACCATCTCTAGAGGCTTGGAATACCAGATGGGAAACATAAAGTGCAGAGCTTTAATCCAACCCATGAACCAACCTTGAAGGAGCAGCAGAGTTAGGACGAGGGTGGCGCAGGTATCAGGGCACATGTCGGGAAACCTGGAACGACAAACAGAAGCAGATTATTCTGTGTGAACACACACGGCTTGTGCTGCTGCGACTCTCTTCTGTTGATCAGCTAACAGCATCAAAGAGGTGTGTTCTAGTGCTCTTTTTAAGCTTTGTGTGGCAATTTTGGAAGAAAAATTCAGCGGCAAGTCAGTGTGGGAGAAAACAAATTTGACACATCAGCATTTTCATCAGTAAGAGTTTTTCTAAGCGGGCTATTGACACAAAAGTTCCACCACAAGTCAATATTGTGTTTAATTCATACAAAGACATCTAAAGACCATGAATTAAGTTATGTGTAATAAAATGAAAAGACATGGGGGAAAAGTGTTAAACACATGAAGATAACAAAGAGAAAGCATCTAGAAGCTGCAATCACCAACAAAGACTTTTCTACAAAGTATTAAATAAAGTGTGTTCAATATTTTTTCCCTGTGTCACTTTAGTTATTATAACTCAACTTATAAACTTAAATGTTCTGATTCCTTTGTATGAATTAAATATTTGGCTTGATGGGAACCTCCAGTGCAAATTTTGTGTGTGTGTATATATATATATATATATCTTTCCCCCCCAAGAATTACTAGTCCATATGAAATGTTCATCAGTCTTGGTACTTTGACAAACGTGCCTGCTGCCTTGTGATTGATATTTAAGCTACATAAGCTAATTTTCATATTTCTGAAAGATGCATTTAAAGACAAAAATGGAAATTCCCATTTGTGCTTCTTTCAGAAAAATAAAAGGGAAAAGGTTTTTAAAAGTCCATTCTCTCTCTACATTTTTTTTAAATATCAGCTTTTAACTTAAACTGGAAAAAAATGAGACAACCCTGAAATGTTTTTTCTCTGCTTGCCTTCAGGGCTTCCACAGAACATGAACTTCAAATCAAAACATTTGGACAAAGTTTGTCCGTAAAAAACAAAAACAAGAAGCATCTATTTGAAAGAATTACTGTGTTTTGCTTTTACACAGGTCAGGTCAGAACTTGCAAGATAATAGAAACTCGTGTCAAGTTGGCATACTAGCCCACAAAACAACAAAACACAGCACTCTGACTTCAGACCAACACCTGCACATGAAACCGTTTTGTCTGCGTGAGGCGGATTCTCAGCACGCGTGTTGAGTCTGTTCTTTATTCTGTCTGCACACTGATCAGCTCCAACGGGAGCAGGATTTCCAGCTTATGATGGAACAAGCTTGTGATTTATAGAGACAGGTATTTCAGTTCTAGTTACATCCACCCCATCCATGTCTTTCACTCCCACTCTGCACAAGATTACAAGGCTTGGACAGACTTGGAAAAATAATAATTACACAAATCTTTTTGAGCCCATTTTTAATGCAATTAAACAACAAAAGCTCCCGGTACTGTTATGGGCATAGAAATCATATAATTTGTAACTTTGGTGTTGGGGATTTTCAAAAATATGACATTGAGGCCACACAAAAATGTATGATTGAAAAGCACCATGCAGCAACAAAAACAACTGCAGAACAAAATGGTCTGTATTTATATAGCACCTTCTAGGGTGTAACCCCCAGGCACATTACAATACATCCTGTCATTCACCCACACATATGAATAATTTGAAGCATTTTAATGATAGGAACTCAATTTTATCTTTGGAGTGAGCCCAGTTCAAAAGGACCACCACAGGTAGAGAACAAACAGGCTAACACAAACAGTTAGCTTTAAAACGCTGAGCTTAAGGTGATGTCATTGCAAGTGACTGCACACAATGAGTTCACGCATAATGTTATTTTCAAAATGTGACTAAAATGTCTTTAACTGAACATTTACCAACATTGGATTTAACAACTCTGGTATGAAGGACAATGAGCAGTGTGCATAGGTGACGCTGGGCCTTTATTTGTGTTTAAGACATCAGATTACACGTGGAGCTAATAAAAACCTTCTGGAGTATCCATTTTGACCTCGTTACCATCCTATTAGCCTGATAATCCCACCTGTCATCTGTCAGCTTTGTATTTGGTCATTACTGGCTGCACATAAAGGGTCTGTGGACGCTGCAGATAAGGTCTGATTATCTCCAGCTGATGATAAGCTCAGCTATAATATCCTGCTTGTCTGCTGTTCAACTGTGTGCACTGAGGTAGGCAAAGAAGAGGGACGTGCCAGGGAGGGAGACCCCTCTGTGCTGAGCTGTGTGTGTTTCTGAGACAGAGATGGACTTGTGTGCAGGACAGAGTATGGGCGTCTGTGATAGAGATCTGCGGAGCTGACATGGCGGCAGACTATGAAGACCTGAGTGGATAATCATCATCACAAGCTTTTGATGCGTTACTGTGCTCTCTCGCTGCAACATCTCGATGACAAAGTTTCATTGCTGCCACCGGGTGCAGTTTGGGGTGTGTATGCTTGCCAAGCTACTTAAAACACACACACCTGTCTGAAAAATTGGCTGCTTCTTCACAGGCATTCCACTGGATTTCACCGGCCTCGTTCAGTTTGTCGCCATGCTTTTGAACAAGCCTGTACTTAACAACCGCTACACATCAACAGGAGGGGAGAATACTATTAAAAGTCTAGCCGGCTCCCTCTCTTGTTCAAATCAGCTAGTTCTTTCTCATGTTAACTGTTTAGAAAACTCATCTAGACACAAAGAAGTCCCTTCAATTGAGTAAAAGAAAGGTCTGAAGCTCAGATATGGATTGTTTAAGTTCTTAGGATGGAAAATGCTTTCATGCTGAACACTGTAATTAGAAAGGAGCACTCCTTCTGAGCCAGCTTCATACCAAACCCAGCCAACCAACCTATATCTGAAATGTGTGTTATTTTGTCAAATAACTGAAATATGGGAGACACACACGGCAAATGCTGTTTAGTGGTAAACACCTTGCTTTTATTCAACATGTTTCTTACAGTAAGGCATTTCACACTAAAATGTTGAAAATGTGTTTTTAATTTGAAATGTTTGCAAAAATCCAACCTTGCAGAAATAAGATTAATGTCTGCAACTGATGAGCAGAAAAGGAAAGGTGTTTTAGGGGAAATAAGGCATGAGGGGTGGGTAATAGAGCCTCATAGTAATATCACAATATATTAAATTTGCAATTAAATATTTGTGAAAATATAGAAAATATTTAATATAAACAGCTTCAGGAATATAGCCTAAACAAAGAAAATATATAGATTTAATTCTAAAATTATTGTTCAAAATGTTTGCCCTGTAATGATGAAAACCATCAATCATGTCTAACAGAACAGCAGGTCTTAAATGTGAACTTTGACCCTCTTTCCATCTTTTTAAACTCTTCATGGATGCTAAAATATAACGACCTGAGCAGTAAACGTAACTTTACTGGTTCAGCCTTTGAAGTTTTCCTGCCAGCTTATTACCTTTTAGTTAGCTGTCAACATCTGGTCACGTGTCAGAGGTCAGGATGGACGCGCTGTCGGGTTGCGTCAGTTCTACAAAGACAGAAACTCGCTTTTCTTTTACCTAAATAAATCACTAAGCGTGCATTTTCTTACTCTAACACGGAAATGACCAAACCTGTTTCCTTCAATGATGATCGGTCCACCACCTGCAGGTGGCTAAAACAAACGCACCCCACTCTGACACCGATGACTCCCCTCACCCCGCTGCGTCTCCTTGATCAGGTCCTGAATGTGCTCACGGCTCCTTCGCAAAGTGGTCCTCTCTCATTCTGCAGCTCTGACTGAAGAGCTTTGCCCCAGAGCAGCGGCCACGCCCACTCCTAACCCTCCTCTGGTATACCTGCAGGAGTCTGTCCTCTCATCCAGGTGTGTTAAGACCGTTTTATACTCAGCCTGACAGACCAGATCAGAAATCAATACTCAGTAAAAAAAAAAAATTACTTTTACCAATTAAGGTTTTCAATTAAGAAAACAATAACCTACCTGAACCAACCAGCTCTTATGTGAAAACTAATTGACCCTCTTAAAAAATAAAGATAACTGATTAACCACATTATTTAGAAAGCTGTGTTCAGTTTTGAGACCTGATTACTACCAGATCTACATCATTAGGAAATCATTCCAATAGCACCTGAGACCATGAAGCGGACTACAAGATCTCAAAAAGCAACACACCATGTCCTGTTTTAACCCTGTGTATAGTAAATTAAAGTTTACAAAACACTTGAGCCTTTAGAGGATAAAAACGTGCACTGGTAAAATGGCTATAAAATGTATTCATTAATACCCCCCCCCCCCCCCCCCCCCCCAATAAATCTGCTAAACAATTTCAGTCCTGCTCAAACATATAAAAATTTCCATCATTTTGAGAATTTAAAACCTTCAAAATGCCAGTTTGATTACTCAGTCATTTCTGTAATTCATGAAAAATAAATAAATTAGTCCCCCCCCAAAAAAAAACAACTACTTTTTCTTCCTGGGGCATTTATTAGAAGTCAGTCTTGGTCATGTTATGAAATATCTAAAAAAAAATACACATTTTGCATCAATAGCTATTGTTTATCCAATCCAATCCAATTTTATTTATAAAGCGCATTCACAAGGCATTACAACCAAACAAGGTGCTGTTTAGCAACAGATCGATCTTATAGTGGACAAAAACGTCCCATTGACTTCCATTAAAACCAGTTTTTGATTCTTTAAGATCTGCCACAAATCATGCTTTGTGATATCAGGGTTTCATTTTGGAGAAAGTCAAATTTATTTTTACTGTTCACCACCAAATTCAGTCATTTCTCCATATGTGGTCCAAGTGAGAAACTCTACCCAGGTGCAAAAATAAATACTAATTGTTTTTGTTTTCTACACTTTGAAGTTCAGAGAGTCAAACTGTGTTTAATCTACTTATCAGAGGTCAGGTTGACCGTTTGAATTAAACACAAACAGCAGAAGATCTAAAGAAATGTGGTTTCTTGCTTGGACCACATATGGAGAAATTAATTTGGTGGTGAACAGTAAAAATCAAAGAGACTACTTTCTCCAAAATGAGCCCGATATCACAGAAAGCATGATTATTTGTTACAGGATAAAAAAACTGGTTTGAATGGAAGTCAACGGGGCATTTTTGTCCTCTTAAGACTCACGTGTATAGTGATGGGGTTTTTTTCATACTGTTCCCTTGGTCTATTTTCAAAATTCCAAATTGAATTTCAAAATTTGTCCAGAGGGGCTTTGTGACAAAATTTTGTACCATAAGCACGAACAATGGTGAAATGGCATCCAAAAGAAAAGCAAAAAAAACCTGCCCAAATGGACAAAAACGTCCCTAATGAAGCCTGAGGGTTAGACAGTCAAGATAACCAAATAAAACATGTAAAGCTTTGCCTCACTTAGTTCAAATTAAGATAAGAACTCATGATTCAACAAAGCAGGGGGTGTTCCAAAGACCAACTCTCTGCTGGACATAAAGACTCAACCCACATTTGCAAAAAAGTCGATGTTTTGGCAACTGTTCTGTGGACTAGTAAAGTGGAACTGTTGGAGAGGCGCATCTCACGGTATCTGTTGTAAAACTTTACATTAACAGAACATCATTACAACAATCAAACACTGTGGTGGCAGTGCAATGGTCTGGGGGTTCCGTTGCTGTTCAGTGCATTCATAGCTCGGATGTAAAAATTTTTTTTTGCATTATTCAAAACTTGTCCACATTGCTCATAAAGTGCTCTTTAAATAAAGTGGACTGGATATAGCAGACAGCCTGAAGGAGGACTGACCTTTGACCTTTAACATGACTGGAAAACACCTAATTATAAATTCAATCAATTCTGCAAGAGAGGGATAACGTTTCTCCAGTGATTTGAGACTCATAACCAGCTCCCATAAACTACTGATTGAAGTTGCGTTTAAGTTTTTCCTATTTTAGATTAAACGGCTTTTTTTGTTGTTTAACCAGGTCGGTTTAGATAATTAGAAATCTGCTTTTTGTCTTAACTCAGGTTTCTGAGTTGTGTTAGCTGATCTGAAAAAAAATAAATAAATAAAAATAAAATTGCATGACAAAAAAGCTTAAACTGAAGAAACCTGTAAAGAGGCAAATACTTTGTCACAGCACTGGTGCATGTAAACGTTAGCATTTGTCCCCATAAAGTACAAATAAACAACACACATTTTCTTTGTTTTAATCCATATAAACTTTATGTAAATTTCAAAGGTAAATAAAGTTACCCATCCCATCCCTGCAGGTGAACAAATACACAGGTAGAATGTGTAAGAACACACTGTAGAACAGAGGATTAACCGCTGCTGGCTTGTACAGAAAACTAGAAAATAAAACAGGTTGTTTCCAGAAAAACCTAAACACGAAACCAACTGGAACTTAGCCACAGATTAAAACAATTTGAGCCATTTATACAGTGCAGCATTGTTTCTAAGAACAATAACGTAACCCTCTCACTGTCCTAATGGGTGTGACCCCGCCAGGAAAGTTGACCATTGAGCAGGGTTGATGTTTTATCCCTTGGGTCCACGTGGCAGGGGTGAGGAGTGAGCACCACCTCACCCCTGCCACGTAGACCTCAAGGGATAAACCATCAACCCTGCTCAATGGTCAACTTTCCTTGCGGGATCACCCATGAAGACAGTGGGAGCATTAAAGACAAACCAAACAGATAAAACAGAACCATTAAACGTTACAGTTTTGTTACTTTGATGATTAAAGTAACAGTCGAGTCATGGACATCTTATTGTCTGTCCAACAGCTGCTTGATGAGATGTTCCAGGTTGTCAATCTGTAGGTGGCAAGCAAAAAAAAATAAGAATACTGGTAATTATCCATCCATCCATCCATCCATTGTCTGAACCCGCTTTGTCCACATAGGGTAGCGGGGGGGTGCCCATCTCCAGCGGTCAATGGGCAATCAGACGGGCTACACCCTGGACAGAGCCAGTCCATCGCAGGACAACACAGACACACAGGACAAACAATCACACACACACACACACACACACACACACACACTCACACTCACACACCTAAGGACAATTTAGACAGACCAATTAGGATGAGTTAAATATTTTCTTCATTTTATGTGACAAAAACAGCTCTGACCTGCTTTTTGAGGCTTTGACAGCAGCAGCTTGAAGTTTGATGATCTGGAAATATAAGAAACCAGAGTGATCAAAACAATTATTTTCACACACTAAAGCTTGGGAATGATCAAATCTGACAATGTCCAATAAGCATGGCTTCAGGTTGGGTTGAAATGCAAACACACCAGAGATAGTTGAACTGTTTTGGTCTTGTGGCTCTATTTGGTCTACGTCCTTCTTCACTGGATCTTCTGCAGGGTAAAATAAGCCTCATGAAGAACACCATCAGTAACCAGGATAAAGCTTGAGTCCACTTAGTAGTCCAGAGTATCTGCAGGAATCTTTGACTTTTTCATGACCCTGCAGATAGCCTGCAGTCAGCACAGCTGGTTGATATTTAAATTCATCATGCTGCTGCTGCCTCTTGGCCAGATCGTCGTTGTAAATAAGAATAAATAAGAATTAATTCTTAATCGGCTCATCTGGTTAAATAAAGGTTAAATAAAATAAAATAAAGATAAATATTAGAAAAATGCTTGCAACAGTAAACAAATTTTGTCCAACTTTTCTGTGCAACTGTAGTCATAATAAACTTGCTTTAACAACTGTTGATCTCACCACTGACAGGTGCAGCAGAAATGGACTGGGCGGTTGGCTCTGAGGGTTTGGTCGTGTCGGAGGTATCCGCTGCGTTTCCCAGCTCCGTATGAGATGGAGGCTTGGGACCGGCAGGTACAGATGAAGTGCTCGGGGATGTGAAGCAGCCATCTCGGTCACTGCTTGGGCTGGCGTTTGGGTGAGGGCTACTCTTGGAATGGGCATGCAGTGTATCCAACATCATGGCAGTAAGATCCCCCCCGCCTCTCACGGCGGGGCGAGTGAGACACAGCACATTAGCAGAGCCGTCAAATGACTGAACTGAGGCCAGGACTCCGTTAGCCAGCTCACTCTGGAACACCTGCTGCACTTCTTCTGGCCAATCTGAAGGAAAGTGCTCCTTCCCTTTCAGTGCAGAAAAGTAGGGTGAGTGATTCATTAGGAAGAGAAAACTGAAATATTAGAACCCTTGAAAGAGGTTTGATCTAACCGTCTTACCAGCGAGGGCGCCGCGAGCTATCTGGAAAGGGAGCGCCAACAGGTGTGTGGGGATGGGCAAGATTCTGGAGTGTGGTACCTTCTCAGAGTTACCGTAGTCCGCATAGAGGACACTCATCTCATTCTCACCAACTGATAGGACCACTGCTCTGTACCAGTTATTATCAGCTGGAAGGGAGAAAAGTGTTAATAAAACCACATAATTTAGCTTTTTCAACCACCACATGCTCGAGTTTCAATCCTGCATCAACATGGGAACAAGTTTGATTCCTTCTAAATAATACTGTTAAAAACAAAAGGCAGTCGCAGCTGCAGCCTCTGTCATCCCTGGAACCTGTTTTACAGCTTCTGTAGCATCCAGCACAGAAATCTCCATTAAAACAGACCCTGTTGTTAACCGGCTGTGGAATGTGCTCCAGACCTGTCTCCTACCTGTACGCTGTGTTTAAAGAAGCTCCAAAGATGGCTTCACAGTGTGAAAACACACACACACACACACACACACACACACACACACACACACACACACACACACACACACACACACAGCAATTATATTTACTCACAGACAGGGAATTACCAGCTTAGGTCTGCAGGGGCAACCGCTGCCGGTGGGGTCTTAAGAATAGAGACCGTACTTAAATGTTTACATTTTCAAAGTGAAGTGACGAAAATACAAAGCCACGTGCTGAGGATTTTTCTTTAAAAAAATTTTCTTTAGGATTTGTTGTCGTTGGCAGCTTTTAAAGGATGGGCTGAGAATGTTGCAAAAGATCAGAATCACAATTATAATTTTAACACTGAGCTGTTACTCAATAAACTAGACTGATACTTGGTTCAGAACTTCTCCTTTGTTCCACCATGACACCATCGAACTCCCGCACAAAAAGGCCATTCCTCCGGAAGCAACCACACACTTTCAGAATAAAAGTATATATGGCAACAGGACGTGTTTAACATAAAAGCATTATTAACAATCACACCTATTCTTTTAAAAGAAATTATATTTACCACTTACACCTATAAAGATGTGCTCTTTCAAAAACAAACAAAACCAACTGACTGTGATATGTGTGACCGGATAGGTTTAATACATTTTTTTTAATTCAACAGTCCATTGTCCCTCGCTTAGCGTTTTCAGTAGCTGAACAGAACTTATGGGGGTTGGATGAGGAAACGAAATAAAGTAAATCTGTGTTTTGTGATCAGTTTAATTTGACATGAACACGACAAACACGCCTTCTTGACAATCATTGTGAGTAAAAAAACGTGTAGAAATAAAAACGAACAACATGTGTTATTAGGGAAATAGCGGGTGAGCGGAGTTGATGCATGATTGCGCATGCGCCGTGAGCGGTTCTGATACTTTTTGGGTCGCAACCGCTCGCTGCGCCGCTTCAACCCTCATGAGGAATGAGATAAATATCAAACACTCCAGAAGTCCGTGCGAGCTCACGATTGCTGATCGGTAGCTGGTCACGTGGTGTTAATGGCCTCTCGTAACCCCCTGTACACTACACGACGCTCAGCGCAAAACTCGCCCCGATCTCGTGGATTCTCGCACGAGTGGAAAATATGCTCAAAAAAGTCGCACAGTGTCCGCCCGGCTTTACTGTGTGTGTGTGTGTGTGTGTGTGTGTACGTTGATGCCTGGGCCGAGCTGACAGAGCTCCCGGCTGCAGTTTTGTGTCTAGGGAGGGGCGGGCGCTCTATCTGACTGGCCAATCACATAGCATGAAGACTCATTTACCCAATGAGGATTTCATTCAGCACGATTACAGATATTTACGAGTTTTACACTCGTTTCATGCTCGTATTCGTCAAAAATGCTTTATCCGTACGCTCATAGCTGTAACCACCCTGCCCTGCCTCCTCCTCCTTGCTACCTGCCGGCTGTGATGACAAGCAACAACACAGTAGTTCCCGCTGCTTCTTCGGGAAATGGCGCAAAAAAAAAAAAAAAAAAACCATCAATAAAACTTGGGATGTTGTAGGCTTGGCGGTGGGATTTCAGCCGTGGCGGGTCGCCACGGCTACGCCTATGTAAGGGAAACCCTGTTGTTTCAGCGCATAAACATGCACTCAACAAAAATATAAACGCAACACCTTTGTTTCTGCTCCGATTTTTCATGAGATGGACTTAAAGATCTAAAATTCATTCCAGATACACAATATTACCATTTCTCTCAAACATTGTTCACAAATCAGTCTAAATGTGTGACAGTGAGCACTTCTGCTTTGCCGAGATAATCTATCCCACCTCACAGGTGTGCCACATCAAGATGCTGATCCGACATCATGAGTAGTGCACAGGTGTAACTTATACTGCCCACAATAAAAGGCCACCCTGGAATGTGCAGTTTTGTCTCACAGCAAAATGCCACAGATGCCACAAGCATTGAGGGAGCGTGCAATTGGCATGCTGACAGCAGAAATGTCAACCAGATCTGTTGCTCGTGCATTGAATGTTCATTTCTCCACCATAAGCCGCCTCCAAAGGCATTTCAGAAAATATGGCAGTTCATCCAACCGGCCTCACAACCACAGACGACGTGTAACCACACCAGCCCAGGACCTCCACATCCAGCAGGTTCACCTCCAAGATCGTCTGAGACCAGCCACTCAGACAGCTGCTGAAACAATTGGTTTGCATAACCAAACAATTTCTGCACCAACTGTCAGAAACCGTCTCAGTGAAGCTCAACTGCATGCTCATCGTCCTCATCGGGGTCATGACCTGATTCCAGTTCGTTGCCGTAACGGACTTGAATGGGCAAATGCTCACATTCGATGGCGTCTGGCACATTGGAAAGGTGTTCTCTTCACGGATGAATCTCGGTTTACATTGTTCAGGGCAGATGGCAGATAGCATGTGTGGCGTTGTGTGGGTGAGCGCTTTGCTGATGTCAATGTTGTGGATTGAGTGGCCCATGGTGGTGGTGGGGTTATGGTATGGGCAGGCATCTGTTATGGATGAAGAACACAGGTGCATTTTATTGATGGCATTTTGAATGCACAGATACCGTGATGAGATCCTGAGGCCCATTGTTGTGCCGTATATCCATGAACATCACCTCATGTTTCAGCAAGATAACGCACAGCCCCATGTTGCAAGGATCTGTACACGATTCTTGGAAGCTGAAAATGTCCCAGTTCTTACATGGCCAGCATACTCACCGGACGTGTCACCCGTTGAGCATGTTTGGGATGTGCTTGACCGGCGTATACGACAGCGCGTACCAGTTCCCACTAATATCCAACAACTTTGCACAGCCATTGAAGAGGAGTGGACCAACATTCCACAGGCCACAATTGACAATCTGATAAACTCTATGCGAAGATGTGTTGCACTGCATGAGGCAAATGGTGGTCACACCAGATACTGACCAGTTCTGAGTCCCCAGACCCCCAATAAAGAAAAAAAATTGCACATTCCAGGGTGGCCTTTTATTGTGGGCACTACTCATGATGTCGGACCAGCATCTTGATGTGGCACAACTGTGAGGTGGGATGGATTATCTCAGCAAAGCACAGGTGCTCACTATCACACATTTAGACTGATTTGTGAACAATGTTTGAGAGAAATGGTAATATTGTGTATCTGGAATGAATTTTACATATTTAAGTTCATCTCATGAAAAATCGGAGCAGAAACAAAGGTGTTGCGTTTATATTTTTGTTGAGTGTAGTTATGGTCCATTTATCATTAAAGAGATGAAATCCTCAAAATATTGTGATTATTGATTTTAGGCTATAGCCCTAATGTACAGTCACGTTTCCCTTACCAGAGAACTGGGCGCAACAGGCCGATCCAGGGGCAGGTTTGCACTTTTCAGCTGCAGAAACGTTGTCCTTGTTGCTGCCGCAATAAACAGCCAGCTTCTCCATCACCTCCTGAAGCTTCTGTTGGTCCACTTTCAAAAATAAAGAAAAAATGACTTCCTGGTTTATATGTATGACTAACAAAGCAGTGAGAGTGTTCTCACCCTGGGCGGGACAGAGCAGGTAAAACAGGGAAGGATTAATGACTGCTGTGATGCAAGGCTGAAAGACCTCCTTGAGAGGCAGCTCCACTGTTTTCCAGTCCACGGGGAACGATGCTACTGGTAACAAACAGGACATTTTAATAAGGAAGCTGATTATGTTATTTCTTTGTTTTAAGACATTTAACATTTTAACTGACCTTCTTGAGTCACTGCTGTCAGCATTTCACTTGACTGACTGGAACAGGTTTCTGTCTGATTGTTAGCTTGAACGTTGTACTCGTGTTCCTTCACACCATCTTCCTGTTTGATCATGGAGCTCACCTTTACAGGCGATGGTTCCTTAAAACATTCTCCATAAGGTTTAACAAGCTGCTCACAAAGTAATGTAGCTGCAACATTCTGGCCTCTACTCTCGAGCTCCACGCCGTAGCCCTGCTCGGTGAAGGAGAGGACGCGAGCGGTGAGCTGTTCGTTGTCCACCAGGGTCTGAAACCACAGGATGGCCTCGCTGCTCCACTCTGATCCGACGGGCTCCACACCTGATTCCACAAGCATAATTTGATGGAAACTTTTAAATGCTTATTTTGTCCAGAGGTGTTTGAATTGTTCATTAAAAATTGCATAAAATTCCACCATCATTTAACAGAATAAGACAACTGCCATCGTGGTATTCAGTTTACCTGCAAGCCAGCAGCAGACTGCCTGGAATGGTAGCACCAACAGTTTGGCTGTGATGGGCCGAAGGTGACTTCTTTTCACCAACTTGTTGTAACCATAGTCCACAAGGCTCACAGCTACACTGTCCTTGTGGACGCTCGTCACCATAGTCCGGTACCACGCTCCTTCACCTGGAAGGAAAATGCATTTACAGATGTGAACTCTCAAAACAATTCTTTTTAAACAAAACCTTATGTCCAGATCAAAGGTCACAGCCACAAAATAATTCTATCATATGTATACATGCAAGTATTTCTCTTAAGGTTTAGCTGTCTGATTGCTAACAGTTAGATGACCTCACCAGAAGTCTGTGCACAGCACGGCTCTCCCACTTTGGGTACAAATGCTGTTGCATCAGCCTCACAATGCTGCTTCAACTGAGCCCCCAGTTCCTTTAGCTTCTCAAGCTCTGACAGACACAGAGAAACAAGCTTCACACAAGACATTCACAGTCTAAGGTCTGAAGCATTAACTATATGCGTCATGTTTCTTAAGTGGGGAAAAACTGCAGACCAAAATACAAAGATTAGCCTAACTTTTTAAGGAGGAAAAAATATAGAAAGCCATTAAATATGTTCAGAAAAAGTAATTCTATGATCAGTTACATTTTAAGATGACTTAAAATTCATCAACAGGGACCTTTTTTTAAAAGGAGGAACACACCTGTGCTCTGCTGGCAGTAAAACTTTCCAGGGCTCTCAACAACAATGGGCAACAGCACCACCTTCTGGCCATCAGAGGGGAGCTCAGCAGAAGACCAAACCAGAGGCTCAGACACTGGGGAGCATTTCAAACATGTGGCGAAACAAAACATGTCAGAAACAAAAGGGGTTACAGTTGGATTTAAAGTGTTTAATTAATCCCAATATAACCAATAAAATCCTAACAGAAGTATCTATTAAACAGCTTTGTAGGAGATAAAGGCTGAAATGAGATTTAATCAGTCAGTACAAATGAAATACTAGTAAGGTTATTTTAGACACTTTTTACCAATTTGTGCTGCAGAAGCAGTCTTTTCCTCGGCTTGAGTAGGGATGGTCGTAACAAGAGCAGGAGCAGCGTAACCTGCAGCAATCAGCAGCGTGGCTATGTTGTCCACAGGATCACTCGTCTCATCAGACATAGACACCAAGAACTTGCCCTTGTCTTCTCCCAGGATCTCTATGTTTAGTATTCTGTTAAGCACCCGGAGCTGCAGGGCCTCCACACATTCCTTTGACCAGCTTTGCCCATTAGGCTGCACCTCTGGATAAAACAAACAACCTCTTTAAAATTTTAATAATCACCAAGTTTCTTCCAAAAAAAAAAAGCCACTAAAAAAAGGAAATGCAAGACATTACCCTCCAAACAAAAACCAGCATGCATTCTGGTTATTTCCTTACCAGCTAGACTACAATGCATGGCCTGCATCGGAAGGGCCAACAGTGGGGGGCTAATAGGTCGTAGCTGGCTTAAAGCCACCTCCTCTGAGTTGCCAAAATCTAAGTAGCCAACAATTATGCGCTGCTCTGATGGATAAGCCAAAACTTTAGCTCGGTACCACTGCTTGTCCTCTGAAAACAAACAAAACAACAAGGAGAAGATTAAATTTCTGTATCTGCTACAGGAGGAGCAATATTTATGTACAATAACGTACAGCAATACTTATTGATTAAATCAATGACTGAGCTTAAAGTTTGGATGTAACAAAAAATAAATAAAAAAAAAAAAAAGGGGGGGGGGGGGAACAAAGCTTAGATGAACAAAGTTGTACTAGGTTTGCTTAGAGGCAGGAGGAGATGAGCTGTACCTGAGAACTGGGAACAACAAACAGTTTCAGGGGCCGGTCTGAAGTTCGGTGAGGCTGCAACCTGGGAACAGTGTTCTCTCAGCTTCAGCTGCAAATCCTGGACAAGTCCTGCAAAGCAACATTCCAGCTGAGGTTCAGATTCATGATGGGAGAGGAGAGGTTATGGTGGCAGACTCACCAGCATTGTCCACCTTCTGCACAATAAGATCATTTGGTGACTGAAGGTGGGTGATGAAAACTGAAAGCTGGTCTCCTACAAACTGTTTGATTGGCTCAGGTGGTTGAGCCCATTTGTTGTCATCTTTTCCATCAGAGAAACGCTGGAAATTTTTCAAGGATGTGGCTAACATGGCACCTGAATAAAATCATACAATCAAACTTGTGTCAGTACTGGACTGCTGAAAACCAGGAATCAGTTAATGAGCGCAACTATGAATGAGTGACTGCTTTCATTGTTGCGTCAGTCTGACAGACACTCATTACAGCTGAGTTAAGTTCACCTTGCACCAAAGATTACAGATGGTCAAATCAAATATTGACTTCAAAACTATTTGCACCATTTGTTTTTCCTCATTGTTTTCATTAATTCTTTACGCTTAGTAAATCCAAACTAATTTACCCGACAACAGAAGCAAAGAGTTGATCAAGACTTTAGCATTGTCCTGTGAGTTAATGGTTTATGGTTCTTCACTGTGGGCCAAATGAGGAGTCGTAGGAAAATGGCCAGATAAAAACTAGATGTAAAGAATATTACCAATATTGTTCACCCTAATTACTATGCAAAAAAAAAAAAAAAAGCTGTGGTAAATATATATTAATGTCATTATCTCATTTACTTATTTCGACAAAAATATTGCTGGATTTGACTCCTGAAGGCAAGACTAGAAATGAACTTTTTCAGTACTGTTATGGAAAAATTTATGTTTATTAATTCTTGATCATGGACTCAATCAACTGAATGTAAATGTATTGCTCTATGCCTCTTTGCATCTCTCTCTCTGTCTGTCTGCCTGTCTAAATTAAGCCCCCACAATGCGGCTCAAAAATTGAGGCCAACCCGGAAGTACCAAAAATTGCAGTTCCACCCTCATCCGCTGGGAGCTGGTGTCAGAAGCGAGTAAATCCTCATTGACTCCCATGTTAAAAATACCAAATTCACAGCAGAAATAAACATGTTTAAAGCTTGGTACCAAAACATGTTTTTGGTTTAAATTATCTAGTTTACACTCATGACAACTCTGAGGGGGGTGAATTTTTTTCTCACTCTTCTGTTTAAGTGTATTAAAAGCCTAAAATTCTGTATAATTAATGAGCATCCGACCCACGTGACCACAGAGCTAGCTCCGTGGAAAGGCCTCAGTAGAGCCTCGGTCTGGCTTGGAAACTGCTCCGGGATTTTGAGTCTGTGTGTTTGTGTATTCTTTTTTTGATATTTTTTGTGCAATTGTTGGACAAAATGACTTGCTGTGGCATTAATTGCACTAATAGAGCGTCCAAGGAGTCTCCACTTCATTTTTTTTCGGTAAGTAAAATTATATTTATGCATTTTAGGTCACTGCCGAGCTGAGCTTAGATTTTAACATATAATGTTTAACCATGAAATTTAAATGTAATAGGGTAAAACCCAGTGCATTTAACACAATGCTGCACTTTAGAAAATGGGTTGAAATATAACATGTTGGTGGAGCTGGGTACCGACCATCGGCTTGTGGAGCTTTCGGGAGACCGATGTTTTCCACCCGTTTCTCCCCTCCCCGCAGCTTGGCGCACCTCTGTCTGATCGCGGCTTCTGTCTGCTGCGTGGGCTGCCGGCTTTCAGCAGCTTTCGGGAGACCTCTGTGTTCCACCCGGTTTTACCCAGCGGTCAGCCCGGCGTACCTCTGACTCAGAAGCTCTGGTGTTGTGCACAGTTAACTCCGGTTGTAGCTAGGTTGCTACCTCCGTTAGCTTAGCTCCCACCTCCGTGTTAGCTTCAGGTTAGCTTGTAGCTAGTTCGACCGGGTGTCGTCAGTTGATCCCAGCCTTACAGCCACACCCTCAGCTCCACCTCTCTTCCCTTTTGTGGAATTGTCTGGGCTTGACGGAACCTGTGACACGGTCAAAATGGCGGTGGTGGCCACCTCCCATTTGGCCTCAAAAACGTGTTATTGGAGCCTATGGAAATGAATTGTCCAGTATATATGTCGATGGTATAAATAAACTCTGTGACCGGATGTTTGGGGCATTTTGCCTCGTGCATTGTGCCACAGTTATGACTGTTTGACTTGTCTGCTCATTGTCTCCTGCTCTCTTCACTATAGGAAATGGGTTATTGATAAGCATACTGATGAAATCCATGACAAGTACACATAAATGAACTTACAAACATCTTCCTCAGTGGGGGCTTCACTGATGGTACATTTTTGAGCATATCCCCCCTGAAGAAGGAAAGCACTGAGCTGCTTTCCTAAAAAAAGACACAAGGAGGAAGGTTAATCATAGGTTTTGAACTTGAATAGACTCAACATACACATCTTTACATTTTTATGGACATTTTAGCTCCATGTGGCCCACCTGCAGACAGCAGCAAATCCACAGCATGGATATGACCATTGTCCAACGTCTCCAACAGCTTAACAGTCACAATCTTGCCTGCCAGCAGTTGTTTCATTGCAACACAGCACTCGTCTGACCACTGATTTAACACCGGCACCACACCAGCAATCTGGCATGCCATAGCCTGAAAATAATAACACAAGCTGATATATTGAAAGGCAAGCTGTTAAAGACCACAAGAAGGAAGACTGTTAAAAACAGCAAGTTACAGTTTTAGAGTTCTAACCTTGAAAGCTGTGGGTTAAATTAACATTTAAATGGCCAAATCACAATTTGACATTAGGGACTTCTATGTAAGTGATTCAAACAAATTCAGATAAAGACTGTAAAAGTAAATACTCACACATGGCCTAAACAGCTGGATATTAGTGGGCAAGGGTCTGATCCTATCAACTGGGACATCTTCTTCATTGCCAAAATCAATGTAAAGGATGTTCGCCATCTTTTGGTCCGCAGACAGAGTCTGGACCAGGCCTCTGTACCAGTTCTAGACACCAGGGATGTATGTGAGAGACAAGTTGGTACATAAACAGGCCAATGTGTATTCAGTAAAACACACGCCTCGTCTAGCTGCTTTAGAAAACCTCTGCTCACCAGGTCACTGGAAAACTGAGCTGTGCAAACCTCTCCAACACAGGGTACATAAAGTGACACTGAGGTGTTTCTGAAAGCTTCCTGCAGTCCTGTGCTGATGTTCTGTAGAGCTTCCAGCACCTCAGGATTTTGATGTAAGAGGAAGAACCTACTAGGGCTGTACACCTCAACAACAGTTGCCTGGGAAAAAGTTTAACAAAACAAATGTTGTTTTAAGGTATTTAAAAGTGTGAACTGTCTCTTCTAAGCCACTGGTGGAAACGGTTGTGCCATACCTGGATCTCTGGCCCCATGATGACTTCAGTTGTATACAAGTCTTTCAGATAGACTCTCTTATAGCTGGCTGATTCCTTGGACTTTTAACAGGAGATTAAAAACAAAATAAAAACAGATAGTGTATTTCATTCAGGATGCAGACCACATTTACAATAGAATGAAAGAAACTCCTTTTATTGTCCCTCATTGAGGATATTTTGTGTCACAGCAGCATTTACAGTCAGGGGAAAAATAGGAGTAAAAAAATAAATAAATGAAGGCGTAAAAAATAAAAAATAAACACAGAATTACTTAGGACTCAAAAATACTCATGTACAGCGGTCCCTCATTTATCGCGGAGATTGCATTCTAAAAATAACCTGCAATGGGCAAAATCCGCAAAGTAGTTGGCTTCATTTTTTTTTACAGATTTTGATACGGTACGCAACTACCATTAGGGTCTCACACACATGAAAACACACTAGAATGTTTGTTTCTCAACTGTTTTTTTTATCGTTTTTCTTTTAATTCCCTTTATAATTTAAATTAAAGTGCCTTGTGATTTTTATCTTTTCTTACTTTTTTTTATTTGGACACAGAACGCAATGCTCTGTAAAAAAACAAAAAAGCACGCAAAATTGCACCAAAAAATCTGCAAAATTGTGAACCGCGTTATAGCGAGGGACCACTGCAGTCAAGAATCAAATGCTGAATGTTTAGACATTTTATAAAAAATTCAAGTGATATAAGAAATGAAAAGCTTGTGAACTTAACCAATGCTGAATTTACCATTGAGGCTGGCAGGTGGGTTCCATCTGACAAAGAAGCATTTTCCTTAGGCTTTTCTCTGTAGATTGACACAACCTACATTATTTCCTTGGCAGTGTGGGTTTATTCAGTTTTTTAATAATGAACCAAAGGCAAAACTTAGTAACATTCTTACTTTGCAGGTTCGGGATCAACAGGCTTGCATACAGGTCTGTGTGCCTTCCAGTCTTCTGCCTGACAAACCACAGAGCAATAATGCATCTTCTTGCAGCGCTTACAGCGAAGGTTCCCTGCCAATCAACACCAGTAGGTTTAATTGATTCAAACATGTTTGTAAAAACTTGCAACAAACTGCACATGCCTTTTAAGCACTTTCAAAAGGTCCACATCACAGTACAGTTTGGCGACTGGACGAATTTATCAACAAACCATCGGCGATAGGCCGAAACCTTCATTGACCTGTTGGGGTTTTTGTTTTTTATGCAGCATGTCGAGGGTGAGACATTACAGACATCTATGTTAAATCAGCATAGTTTTTGCAACACTATGTAGGGCTGCTCGATTATGGCAAAAATAATAATCACGATTATGGTGACTGAAATTGAGATCACGATTATTTAGGACGATTTTTCTATTTATGTTGATTTTATTTGTTTTTATTCAGTCATAAAATTGCTCAGGGCACAATCAGGACAAAAATAAGAAACAAGATGATCACTAAAAGAACTCCTGATTCCCAGTATAAAAAGACCAATATACTTATAGCTCATAGTCTATGACCCAAGGGCTATAGACCTTGGTTTAACTCATTTAAGTCTAACTAGTACAGACCCAAATACCAATATCTTGCAAATACTGACAGCAAGAATTAAACAGTGGCATTTATAACAAATAAATGCAAATAAATAGAGCTGAAACGATTCCTCGAGTACCTCGAATAATTCGAGTACAAAAAATCCTCGAGTCAAATTCTCTGCCTCGAGGATTCGTTTAATTCATATTTAATTAATTCATGGCTTTGCAATCGCCCGGGGTCATGTTTCACCCGGACCGAAATAAGTGACGCACATGCCCACTGGACTGAATGCACACGCGAGTAGCGAATATAACTTAACTTTCTCTTAAGCCATGGCGGACAACTTGAACCCCTGTGGAGTGCGAAAAAGACAGAAAATGTCAAAGTTGTGGAACCATTTTTCACGTCGTAAGGTGGAAAACGTAGTCCAGTATAAATACAGTAAAATGGATTTAGCCTACCACAACACCACATCCTCCATGCTGCTGCAGCACCTGTAAATGTCACTTCTGCAAGCGGACTCGGAGCTAGGGTTGTCACGGTAACCGGTATAGCGGTAAACCCCGGTAAAAAAGTTGACAATAAAAATAACCGTCCAGTTTTTAAAAAACTATATTATCTCGGTGGGTTTACCGTGGCCGCGGTTTCAGCGCGATGACCCTTACCAGCCACCGTCGCTTCAGCTGAAGTTCCCGCGGCGCGCACACGCACTTTTTAGTTTGCAACGGCACCAAAACTTTGAAGCTGAAATAATGGCCGAAGGAGGCGACGGCAGCGCCCAGGACATCCATCAGCCCTCAAAGAAGACTAAATCGGAAGTATGGGCATATTTTGGATTTCTGAAAAATGCTGAGGGACAATTAATAGAAGACTGGTATCCCGTTTGCAGAACGTGCAGGAAACAAGTGTCTGCAAAAGGCAGCAACACTTCGAATCTCATGGCACATCTGCGTGACCATCACCCACGTCTCTACAGCCAGTGCAAGGTAAGTTAACATTAGCATTTTAGCTTAAATGCATGACGTGAGGACTTTTGGCTGAGGGAGAATGCAACGAGTCACTATATACTGCAGCCGCAGCGCCCTCTGCCAGCATTTAAACCGTGTCACGGACACCCTGTTGCTGGATGAAGCATCTTATTTGTTGATGATGAAGAGAAATATACAATTAGTTCCTTGTCATTGATTTGTTTACTTGTTCAATGCCATTTATACTTGAACATTTGGATTTGATTACATAGTGTAGTAGTTATTTTAGTAATTTGTTTAAAGTGGATATTTATTTTAAATACATATTTTTTAAGGTTGACTTGTACAGCGCTCAAGTCAAGTGTGGACTGGAGTTTTAGATTTTCATTTTGATAATGAAGAAAACAAGTATATGAGAAAACAAGTGGTGTTTCTTTGATTTGTTTACATATTGTTTATGTTTTGAATGTTTGGATTTGTATAATTTAAACCTGCACTGACTACTGTAACATGTTCCAGAAAAAGAAGCTATTTGTTCCTTTACTTGTGAAAAGTTGCACTTTTGCTAAGGCTTTGTGTTATTTTAGGTTTAATAAACACTGTTAAACCTTTTCAGAACTATTTCTGTTTGTGTAGAACAGGACTATCAATGCTTTCTGAACATATGCAACACCGTTTAAAAAATACCGCGATAATACCGAAAACCGTGATAATTTTGGTCACAATAACCGTGAGGTTAAATTTTCATACCGTGACAACCCTACTCGGAGCCTCTACAAGATAATGCATTTTAGCCTGTTTTTCTATATATTCTGCGGACTCTGCGACTTTTTCGTTTGTAGCGCTCAGTTTCAGCTCACACCTTACATCTGGTAGCAACACGTCGGACTTCAAATGTGCTAAAAATAGCAGTTTTTACACAACACGTCGGACTTTTTATTGTGTTATTGATGTCTGTTGTCCCTCGGGGTTTCTGCAGGAGGACACGGGTATTTATGAGTGGCGGAGGAAAACGAAAGAAAGTAAATACATGTTTTGTGATCAGTATAATTTGACAAAACCACAGCAAACATGCTTTTGGCAATCCATGTTAGTGTGAGAAAAAAAGTGTGGAAATTAAAACGGACGTGTGTTAATAGGGAAACAGCCAGCGAGCTGTTTGCGCCGTGAGCGGTTCTGGTTATGTTTGGGCCGCAGCCGCTCGCAGCGTTATCCTCCTAGTTTTTGTCTGGCTTGCAGGCTAGCAGATTCTCGCACGAGGGGAAAATCGGCTCAGGTTTACTTATTTTTTGCACAGGCATTTGTTTACTATGAAGTAAAGTTGAAGTGCTGAAGTTATGCAAACTAATTTTGAATAAAACTTGAATAACTGGCAATTGCTTGCTCATTTTAAGAGGTCTTTCATAATTATAACATGCTATTTGATATCAAATCAAATCACATTTATTGTCACGTCACATGTGCAGGTACACTGGTACAGTACATGCGAGTGAAATTCTTGTGTGCGAGCTTCACAGCAATAGAGTTGTGCAAAAATACAGTAATGTAAAAACAAGTAAAATATAAAAATGGCTAATCTAAGTATACAAATGAATAAAGTAAACAATAAGATAAGATATAAAATGTACAGAGGTTGGTATGTGCAAAACAGTGGCATTAATGTACAGTATGGAGCGTGTAATGTTGGAACTTGGTGGAGCTCGCGACGAGGCAGCCATACTCGGCGCCATCTTGGCTCATCAATATATGATATAAAGGTTTACAAACACAAAAGGGTAATTTATTAGAGTACTCGATTAATCGAAAAAAAGATTCGATAGAGTACTCGATTACAAAAATATTCGATAGCTGCAGCCCTACAAATAAATTGATGTTCACAAAATGTTGCATAATACGTATTTAGTCGTGTCAAGGTGCTGTAGGAGAGTGCACTAGCACCGTGTCCTCAGAGAGATTAGTTATTATTTATCAGCATGAGGAACTTATTTCTACCTTATTTATAAACTATTTATTTACAAGTCCATCAGTTAATGTAATAATTGTCCCAACCACAGCTGCACCCCCCACCCCCCCAACCCGGTCTCACAGCAATCGGGGCAAGCTGTACGTGTGTTTAGCACGCCGCACGCGCACATTTAGCCGTTTTTAGTGGCTCAGGAGTCCGCAGGTGCGGTGTGTGTGTCACTCACTCTGGTTAATCCAACAGGGAGCCGGCTCCGAGAGCCGTTTCTTTAGCGACTGACACATCACTACATCATTCCCTTTCCTAATGTCCTGAAGAACGGTCCGGAGCGCAGACGGAGTGTTTAGCTAACCTGCAGGAAATGTCGACGACAGTTATCCAGAAAGTAGCTAAGGGTTACCAGAGATGTTTCTGAGGTGTTCGCCAGGTACTTTTTAAGTTAAAAAGTCAACAAGGGGGTCTGAAAAGCTGCTAGAAATAGCGTTAAAGTCACTAAGTTGGCAACACTGTGGGAGGAGCGCTTCATTTGCAACTCAGGGCAGCGCAAGTGGGAGGAGCAAATAATCAGCTTGTTTTGTTTTTTATAATCGTTCAAAACTCAGATCGTAATCGTGATTAAAATTCGATTAATTGAGCAGCCCTAACACTATGTACATATACATTATCAGAAGGATAGGAAACTTGTGATTCCAATGGTTTATGCCAATACAACCTCAACTGTAGACACAGTAAGCGCTTTTGTCAAACTCAGAATTTTGAAGTAATGCCAGTTTTTTCTGAAGCGACATTGTGGAGTACTTTACAACAGACATTACCACATGGAACGGCTTTATTGCACAAACTGGACCAGGGTATATACAGCAATCCTTAAGTTAAATTTACTACTTTTTAATACTTTTTTTTACTACCTTCAGAATTTTTTAAAACCATCACAACACTAAATTGCAAGTGTTAATCAGCGACCTATTTACACATATTTTAACATATATAACATACAAAAAGAATAGACTTAAGAGACTCACTGATGTTGACAACGTATTGCACATATTTATTTTACTTAGAAAATAAGCCAGGCACTTCTGTTCAGTGGTTCAGACAGTTGACCACGAGGCCTGAAATGATGCAGAACGACCACTAAATATGATGTCATCATTATGTGACCGGATATGCTAAAGTAGGGCTGCTCGATTATGGCAAAAACAATAATCACGATTATTGTGACTGAAATTGAGATCTCGATTATTTAAGACGATGTTTCAATGTATGTAGATTTTTATTTTTATTCAGTCATAAAACTGCTCAGGGCACAATCAGGGCAAAAATAAACAAGAAACAAGATGATCACTAAAATAACTCCTGATTCCCAGTATAAAAAGACCAATATACTTATAGCTCATAGTTTATGACCCAAGGGCTATAGACCTAGGTTTAACTCATTTAAGTCTAACTAGTACAGACCCAAATACCAATATCTTGCAAATACTGACAGCAAGAATTATACAGTGGCATTTATAACAAATAAATGCAAATTGATGTTCACTAAATTTTGCATAACATTTATTG